GACATGGCAAGGAGGAGTTGCTTTGGCCTGCCATTGGGCTCTGGCGCCACCTGCTGTTGGGCTCCCTGCTTTCTGCCCCTCAAGATTTCCAGGATTCTTTAAGATCAGTATTGTCCTCATTAGGTTTAAGTAAAGAAAAAGAAAACGTCCTTTAGCAGCAATGACTGTGAGCACGAGAAGATGCTTCCAGGAGTGAGGAAAAGCTAAACTTAAGAGTTTTCATTAAAGGCTAATGGTTCCTAGGTGCTAATGCAACGCCCAGACATGTGAGAATGGCAAGAGGGTTCTCGATGGCTTGTTGTTGTTGTTTATGGAGATAATTGCTGTTTTTTGCATTCATTCCTTCAAAACCACATCTGGGAACGCTGGCGACCACACCTCAAGAGAAAGACCGAGTGTTGGAACTTTCAGGACAGACAAAATAAAGGGTCTCCTTCGCACAGGTGAACTATGTGAAACTGGCTAGGAGAGGTAGCAATGGGCAACAACTTGGATGGCTTTAAAAGGTGGTTAGGCAGATTCATGAAGGAGGCTGTCAGTGGTTACCAGATGCTGTGGCTACATTCTGACTCCACCATCAGGAACCACAGGAGGTGAGGGTGCTATCTATCTGTCTATCAATTGCATTTATATTCTACCTTTTTCTCAATGGAGCTCAAGGTGGCTTACATCATTCTCCTCCTCCTCATTTAACCCCCACAACAACCCTGTGAGGTAGGGTAGGCTGAGAGTGAGTGACTTGGCCCAATGTTGCCCAGTGAGCTTCATGGCCAAGTGGGGATTCAATCCTGGGTCTCCCAGGTCCTAGTCCAACACTCTAACTACTGCACCACCTTGACGGTCAAGTTCCTATTATGAGAACAAGAAGCCTGGCAGCAGGTTTAACACCTTCCTCTTCCAGCTACGGCTGGGTGAATCCGACACTGTGGATTTCTCTCAGTTTCCCATTTTCCTAATTTTAAAGCTGAGTTCACCTCATTTCCGCATCAGTTTGCAATTTTTCTTCAATGGCCTCGTGAAAATTCACCAGCATTTTTGGGCACACCTCTCCTAACAGACACATTTTTGCGTGCAATTTCCCCGGACATGATGCAACTCGCAGGATTTCCCTCTAAGACGTCTCCTTTTATGCACATGACACACCACAAGCTCTGCAGGCCTGGACTGACGCTAAATTACTTCTTTTTTATTTGCCCTATACTTTCTCTCTTGCTGGGCTCTGCAGAGGCAAGATGCCTCCTTCCTGTTCCAACCTGTCTGCTGGCATCACTGCAAAGCTTCTCCAAGTGCTGCTAACCCTCATCATCCAAACTCTGCCAGGTGAGAGAATGCTTTCTCCTCAACCGTTAGTGGTACGGAAAGCGGGTCTTGTGACAAGGGCATCTTCCAGCCAAGGTGCATCTTCCACAGAGAAAGTCATCGCAAATGTCGATGGAATCTGCCTGGTGTCAGGGAATGGTCTGAAGAAAAGGACCGGGGAATGCATTCTATGGCAGACCAGTTTCTCTCCAAAGGAGAGCAGGAGAGGGAAGAGTCGCTCCTCTTGTCCACAGCGTGTTCAGAAGCAGAGAGACAAAAGCTGAACAGCTTAGGGAGGAGTTATCCAGTGTCAAGATAATGACAACAGAACCAGAAGGGAGGGGGCAGGAAAAAAGCGCTGATTACAACCATCAAAACTTTGAATTTATCTAAATGCTGCCAGTGTTTTCAAGTGTACACAATTTCCCCCATATATTCAATAGACGTTTTCCAATCTTCTCTAAACATATGTTCTTCTTGTTCTCTTATTCAGTATGTTAAGTCCGCAAGCTGCTTGCAATTTCTTCATCTCAAGACTCAACAGACGATATCCTCCAAACGCCATTTTTGGATGTCTATCTAGCATACAGCCCTTAAATAGTTTAGTCTTTGGAAGAAGATAATCATTGTAATGTCTTTCAGCCTTTTTTGTACCATTGTATTGACGCAAATCTAGCTGGACCACAATGCTAAACTGCTAGTAGGGAGCAGGTTTTAGCTCTGCAATGCATCACCAAAGCTGCAGTCAGTATTGCTGGTGTGATAGATTTGCTTCTTGCTTTCACCCTTGGTGAAACTGAGTTTTGGAGGAACTAGGTTGCCAATTACCACCAGGAATTTCTTCTCATTAGATCACAGTTAAGTCCTGAAGTGATGGCTTCTTCAAGGTTTTGAGCCCAGTGACCCTGGCTTCCTGCCTAAGGCTTGTCCTTGAACAGCAGACAGAGTTGCATTCATCTCCCAAGTAACCTTCCCAACAACCGTGGACTGATAACTGACCTCCCAAATGTTATGTACTAACATATGTAGTGAGTTACTTACTTCAAGCTTACATACCGAGCTAAATTCAAGGTCATGGGTATGGTGTATGAAAACCCAATACAACTTGGGACCAGGAGAGCTGAAAGATCCTCTCACCCCGTATATACCCAATGCATAATTTTATAAACTTCTGTCATGTCACCTCTCGCTAGCCTTTTCTCCAAATTATAAAGCCAATAATGCATGAGACCAATGGTAATGTTTTTTGAGGGGCTTCAGAATGCAGGTCCAAACCTCAACGAACACTTCATCCAAAACCCATGCCCTTAACTTTGAAAGCTAGCATCACACAAGGCATCAGGGTCAAGCAGAATAAAATGGATGGGCAAATCCCTTCAATGATTTACCCATTTGCCACATTACATCTTGATCTCCAGCTTCATATTAACCAGCCATCCTCACAAGTCGAGTTTTGTTGATCACATAACTGTCTTTTTGAAGGAGGTGCCAACACAGAAGTAGTTCTTACTGCTGGGATTTTCCACCATGGATTTTGCTCTTAACGCAAGACGTCGGGGACCTCCAAATGTTGTTGGACTACAACTCCCATCATCCCTGACCATTGGGCCATGCAAGCTGCAGCTGATGGGAATTGGAGTCCAACATCTGGAGCAGGGGTGGCGAACTGCAGGCCTAATTAGCCTTGACAGACTCACAAGGTCATGGTCACCTATCCTACACCACCTGGTATCATACGTCAGGTATGGAGCAGGTAAAAACTTGGCGCAGCTGACAGGCTTGTTTGTAGGCATTGGTGTTCATCTGATGGGCAGTGCCTTCACAGTGCAACATGAGGTAGTGCTATCAGAGGGGCTTCTGAAGACACCTCGCACAGCATTTTGAAAGAGGACATCAGAAGAGCTTGTTGGGTCAGGTCAATGGCCCATCTAGTCCAGCATCCTCTTCTCCCAATGGCCAACCAGATGACCCAGTGGGAAACCAGAAAGCAGGACCTGAGCACAAGAGCACTTGCCCCTCCTGTGGCTGCCAGCAGCTGGTATTCAGAAGCACTATTGCCTCTCACCACAGATACAGAGCACAGCCATCAGGACTGGTAGCCATCACTATCCCTCTCCTCCATGGATTTGTCCAATCCTCTTTGAAAGCCCTCTAAGTTGGTAGTCATCTCTATCAGGAGCTCGTCCTACACTCGAGTAGGACCCTGGCAGAGACAATAGTCCCACTTCACGGAACACAGTAACACAAACATCCTGTCTCCGTCTTTGTGGAGTCAAAATATACACCGTCGTGTGAAAGACAACAATCCCATGACTGCAACCACGGAGCAGGAATTCTAACAATCCCTGCCTCCTGGGGAAGCGAGTTCCACAGTATATATATATGTGCTGTGTGAAGAAGTCCTTTCTTTCACCTGTCCTGAATCTTGAAACATTCATCTTCATTGGATGGCCACAAGTTTTAGTCTTATGAGAGAAACGTTTTTCACTATCAACCCCACCCAGGGTGCGTGGAGGTAGAAAAGAGTTCTCCTTATCCAGATTCTACAGGGGCACAAGTTTTCCCTCCAAGCCCTAACTAAAGAGTTTACTGAGAGTACAAGGCAGGGGAAACCAAGGAAGGGTTTGAGCAAAACCCTTTGCTTTTTTTCTTCAACTGTTGAGGCTCTGCACTCAAGATTTTGCTTGCTGCCTTGCAAAGTGCTTTCAACCAATCTAGCAAGTGGAGATGTTGCAGCGTGATGAACTGCGTGGGGAACACACCCTGTCTCAAGAGTCTGTTAGCTCTACAAATGATTCCTGGTGCAGGAGTCAGAAAACATTAAAAAAACACAGACACACACAAACCAACAGCCAGCTGGTTGAAGGTCGGAAAATGATCTACTAGCATGAAATACATGTGAGTTACAGAATAGCCTATACATGTATTTAGCCAGATTCCAGGGAAAGCAGACTAAGAACTCCACCACCATCCTTTCACTCACTTCCTTAGCAGAATGTCACTTTTGACGTCCCACTGTTCTGGATTAAGGATTAAAATGCAAGTGGAATTTGGCAGACAAGGAGCAAGCAGCCCCTTTCTACCTAAACACGTCACTGGAGCGTCAAAACAGATCAAAGGTGATGGGACAGAGCTTAATTTTTCCCCAAAAGTCCCATGCTCGGTCTAGACTCCAACCAAAGGTCACGTTAACATGGATGCCATAAAACGAGTAACCTGCTTTCCAATGATGACCGCTAAGTCGACAAGCAGTATACATAGATCAGGGGTCAGCAAACTTTTTCAGCAGGGGGCCGGTCCACTGTCCCTCAGACCTTGTGGGGGGCCGGACTATATTCCTATGCTCCACAAATAACCCAGAGACGCACTTTAAATAAATGCACACATTCTAGTCTTGTAAAAACACACTGATTCCCGGACTGTCAGCAGGCCGGATTTAGAAGGCGATTGGGCCGGATCCAGCCCCCGGGCCTTAGTTTGCCTACCCATGACATAGATGCTTAGGAAAGCAACACACAGGGTGGGCTTTTCTGCAGCAAAGGCCATTGAGGAGAAAATCAAAACAGAATTTATAGAAGTGGCTGCAGGCTCAGCTGCCAAAGACACTCACAAAGACTACTTGCCAGGCGGCTACCAAATACTCACTTCTTTAACCGCCCCTTCTCCCCCAATACCCAACAGAAAGCCACTCAGTCAATGCAGACCATTTACATAATTATGGTTTTATTTTGCCTTTTGTACAAAACACTTTCAGCTAATGATTTCCCGTTTTAAAAAAAAATGCACAAAAATAACTCCAGACCCATCAGTAATAACCTAGCATTGGGGGAGAAGGAAGACAAGCCTCCACCTCCCCACCCAACCTGGACATACAACCCCCTGGGATGGGACGGTGCAGGCGAGGTCGGCTATCAGAAAAGATGGCCTCAAGTGCCACTGCATCACCCCATCCTGACGGATCTGTGTTGAAGGAATGAAAGGGGGCCTGTGGAGAGGAGGGAGGGGCCTCTCCTTGAGCCTTCTTAATAAACTGCAGTCTCCCACTTTTTTGCTTTGGCCAGGAATTAAATTGTTGCCCATGGGAGCCTTCAAGAACAGGGGAGGTTCAACCTCAGCCTGCAAAGGGCTAGAGAGAAAATGAACAGTGAAGGGTTTTGCATTTTGGAACCAACCATTCTATGAACAGCACCATATCAGTTGGGAGGCAGGGCCACAGGCAGCAACCAATGGGTGCTGCTCAGTCCCTTCTCTCTGGCCATTCAGGGTTCCAGCTTTAATTCCATCAACTGGGGGAAGTTGTAGGTGAAGGACCAGGACAGCCTTCTGAAGAATGAGAGGGTGGGCAATGGAAATGACTAATGCCTTGGAAACAAGCTGCCTCGTTTTCCAGGGCGTCACCGGCAGAGCTGGACCGTATGTCAGCTCAAGCCAATGCTCAAAGACCCAAATCGCACACACGTAGCAGCAAAAGCTAACACATTTCTGCAGCAGTTCCTTCTATAAAGAAAATTGATCCAGAAGTGAATGGTGATTTCAGTACTCCCGATTCCAGCATGGGAAAAAACCCTTTTGAGAAATTTGGTCAAGACAGCAAGGGAAGGTGAACGTGTTAGTTCTCTGACCTTCACAAAACTCTGAACCATGTATGCACAGAACAGGTCGCCCGATTGTTCCGGCGTACAGGGCAGAAGATACTGGGGTAGGAGGGGAAGAGGTCGGGCCCTCCAGGAGCAGAAGGATTTCCAGATCCAGGTCAGGGCCACCAGAGTACCAGCAGCCACCCGCAATGTTTGGGCAGTAGAAGGAATAGTTTCATCAGCTGATGTGATGAACCCAAAGGGAAGGGAAGAAGGCCCAGAGGGGAATGTTGGGAAGGGAATGTCAAAACGATACGAGAGCACACAGCTACTCCCATGATTGAGGTTGGAATGCAAGTCCTGTAAGAGGCAAAGTCTCGACCGCAACCGTGACTGCGTGAGGAAAGAGTGACAGGTGGCTAATAGGCCAAGAGAGTCAGAGCATGGATGCAAGTCCCATCCGCCTGAACAGAGAGGGCCACCATCAGCCAGCCAACCTGGCTCCTGCCAATTCCCCACAGAACAGATACCCGCCGGGCTGTCCCCAGCACTGCCAAAGCAATGATGGTGAATGCATAGCAGGAAATAAACCTGTATCTATACCTGCACGATCCTCACAGACCAAACCCTGCAGGTGTACAGCAAGGGCAGCACCCTGCCCCATCCTGTGAAGACTTCCCAAAAGAAGGCAGAACAGCAGCTGCTTGCTTTAGCCTTTCCCACCGGAGACACAGAGAGGTGCACTTGTTGTGCCTCACCTCCGGGCCACCAGGGGGCACTGCTGCATACAGTTAAGATCAAGCTAGAGAGCCCCTGCAGTCCTAGCTCACCTTGAGTGCAACAGCAGAAATTCTCAGAATCCCAGCTACCCACTCACCCCCACCTATGGGTCGTTGGCTCCCTCTGGCTGCAGAGGCTACTTAAGACAGGCGGCAGAGCAGGCCAGGGGGTGGTGGTCTGGAGCGTTCAGCCACCCAGTTTACAGGTAAGTGTCCTCGCTCTCCTGAGAGCTGAGGCTCTCCTTGGACTGGTGGAGGAGAGAGGACTCTGGCTCCAGCAATGTCCGAGTCCCGTTTTCTTCGGGGATGGGGCCGTTGACCGGGGTGCTCTTCCCTTGGCCCCCTCTCTTGTTCCCCTTCAGCGGTTTGGTCTTGCGGCCCTTGGGCGAAAGTGTGGTGCCGGGGGGCAGGATGATGGAGGGCGAGGGCTCCAGGGCTTTGCGGGAGTAGGGCTCGGCGTCGCTGATGGCCTTGGCACCGTGGAAGCGGGGAGGGGATTTGCATTGCAGCTCCCCGCGGGTCTCTTTCCACTTCTTCAGCTGGATCAGGTGCTCTCGCTCTATCTGACGCTCCGTCACTGGCAACTCTATGATCTAAAGGAGGACCAAATAAATAAATACATCAATAGCCAGTTCCTCCTTGGGCATCATGCCAGAACATGATACGGAACAGAGGAATGCCAGCACCCAAAGTTTAAGGGTATTCTGTCCCCCTCCCCAAATATCCACCAGGTTCAGCTTCTTCAACATGGAAACGCATCAATATCCACATCTTAACTTCCATTCAATAAAAACCGAACGAATGTTGACTTCTGCTCTCAAGACGCAAGCTGAATTTTGAAGGGGACCAGGTGCACAAGCTTACTCAAAAGATGAAAGAGTGTCTCTCTTCTTGAACTGTCTGTGCCTCTCTCAAGTTTCCAGTTGCAAGAGCTCTGCCACACATCGCTCACCTCAGTCAGAGAGGGTTTCCTTCTGCCCTAGGAACACCTGCGACTGAAAACAGGGCCCACATCCCTCCACCTCTCTTTAAGAAGGGACGCTAAAGAGCCTATTGCAAGTGGGGGACCCTAAACTTGAGTCCACCCCAGGGGCTGCATGTCAAAGTGGGTGTGGCCAATTATTTTTAAAGGACACATTTGGAGGGTCTGGAGTGGGGGTTGGGTGGAGTTCACGGCATTCTTTTCACATTAGTAGGATACCCATGGGAGCAGCCAGGTATAAATAAACTGGAGGCTGGAGTTTCAGGTCACAAAAGAACTATTGGGGGGGGCAGATTTGTCCCATGGTTACAAGGTTAGCTGCCCCTTGCCTAGGAGAGACACTAATATACAAATGACTAATCTTCAGGATACAGCCCCCTGCAGAATATTGATTACACTTTGTGCTTGTTGAACAGTTAAGGCAAAAAGCAAGGCCTGCCTGTATAACACAGCACAGTGGCAACCAGGAAAGACTCTACTTTGACCTTTTGTAAGCCAGTTATAAAAAGGCTATTCCAGCAGAGGGCAGTGTTGCTTTGAAGACATCAACATCCCAACAGAAATAAAGTTTCTTTCTGCAGAGTACCCCATTGGTCTGCCTAGTCCATTACTGTCAGTTCTGGCTGGCAGCTTCTCCAAGGCATCAGGCAAGACTCTAGAAGCAGGTGTGCACAGTGAGATTGAACCTTCAGGCAGGCATGGGCTGTGTTTTATATTACTTTTACACACTCTGGGACCTTCTGCTGAAGGAATCATAGAATTGGCAGAGTTGGGAGGAACCACAAGGGTCATCTAGTCCAACCCCCCGCAAGGCAGGAATCTTTCACCCAACGTGGGGCCCGAACCCAGGACCCTGATATTAAGGGGTCTCATGCTCTACCAGTTGATATAAACAAACAAACAAACAAACAAACAAACAACAACAACAGGTGAGGGGTGGGCAGAAGGTAGACTTCGATCTACCTGAACATCTTGGGGTGATCTGCAGTAGATCCATAAGGATTTCCAACTCTCAACTGCTTCAGCAGGAGCAAAACAAAAAACTAAACAACACGCCCATGTGACACAGAATTCTACTTCACTAAGCTTGACAGAGTTCTGTGTAGCCTGGAAACACACACACTGCTTCAACTGACACAGCTTGTGGTATAGTCAAATCTGGTTTTTTGGAAAGGGAAGTAGCAGTTCAAAAGCAGCACATTTGCTGTGAATCTCAGGGAAATCCAGTTCTGGTTGCACTTCTCCAGAACCACAAGTTGGGCCTTTTTGGGGAACTCTGAGCTGGTGTGGCTGCCTACTGACTTGGGGGAACCAAGGCAGCGATCAGTGCTATGAGCTGCACTGCGGAAAAGTGACTCCTTCAGTCTGATCAGGTGACCAGCTTACAGCCGCGTGCAGTTAGGAAACCCACTGAACAGGCTGGGGCCAGGCCCGACTCCCATCTTACCTCTTGCACAAGGAAAGTCTCCTGCATGATCTTGGGGTTCAGGGCCCTCAGCCGTTCCATTGTCTCATACTGCCCTTGGCAGGACTTGAGCTTCTCAGAAGAGCCCAGGGTGTACTTCAGCAGCACCAGACCCACTCGGAATATAATCTTGACTCCTGGAAAAGAAGAGCAGGCTGTCAAGTTAACCATCAATATGTGGAACAGTCATCAAGAGGCAGAATACAAGTCAATCTACCTGCCCCTCCCAATTTATTTAGAACACAGTGGTACCTCGGGTTAAGTACTTAATTCGTTCCGGAGGTCTATTTTTAACCTGAAACTGTTCTTAACCTGAAGCACCACTTTAGCTAATGGGGCCTCCTGCTGCCACTGCGCCGCTGGAGCATGATTTCTGTTCTCATCCTGAAGCAAAGTTCTTAACCTGAAGCACTATTTCTGGGTTAGCGGAGTCTGTAACCTGAAGCGTATGTAACCTGAAGTACCACTGTACTTCTGTCTTGCTTTATAACCCTGAAAACAGGCATGGAGAAGTCCCAGTGCTGGGGGCCAAATACAGCGCCCCCCAGCCTCTCCACCTGACTCTCAGGACTCACCCCAGGTGCCACACACCCTCCCTAAGCCACATTGCCTTACAGATCCTGCTGCACCTCCTCCAGGTGCTGTTGCCTGGATGGAATCCCATCTTTGAACTCTTGGCTTGTCTGGATGGGGGATGGAGAGGGGTGCCTGGAGAACTCTCTGACTTTGAGGTGTGTGCTCTATACAATGGTGAGACTCACCCACTTTTGCCTCGGGGCCCACTGAGTTTGCACACAAGGAACTGCAGCCATCAGGCTGAAAAATGGTTCCCCACACCCCTGCCTCAGAGACAGAATTCGCCCAAGCACTGTTACGCTGGTAAAAACAGGGCCAATCTAGGCTTTTTAGTCACCTTCCTCAGCAGGAAATGCCCAATACCACCTGATCAACACACACTCAACATGCACAGAGGTCTTCCACCTTCCCATTCTTCCTCAAGTAAGGAAGTATGGCTTTACATTTAAGAGGAGAGCCATCAGTGTGCTGTAGTAGAAGGAAAGAGAGTGTTAGATTTTGAGCCAAAGGGTGTGGGTCGAAATCCCCCCGTCCTCAGCTACAAAGTCTACTGGTGATCTTGGATCTCTCTCACACACAGACCCCACAGTGTGGATACAAGGATCAAACAAGCTGCATATTGCTGCCATGCAGATATACACAATCTGGGAATGAAGTTCTGGCATTCCTCAATACAGTGGTGCCTCGCAAGACGAAATTAATCCGTTCCGCGAGAGTCTTCGTCTAGCGGTTTTTTCGTCTTGCGAAGCAACCCTATTAGCGGCTTAACGGATTAGCGCTATTAGCGGTTTAGCGGCTATTAAAGGCTTAAAGGCTTAGGGGATTAGCTGCTAAAAGGCTATTAAAGGCTATTAAAGGCTTAGCAGATTAGATAAAGGGGGGGAAAAGCGAAAAAAAATCTCTAGACTCGCAAGACATTTTCGTCTTGCGAAGCAAGCCTATAGGGAAATTCGTCCTGCGAAGGGCATTGAAAACGGAAAACCCTTTCGTCTAGCGGGTTTTCCGTCTTGCGAGGCATTCGTCTTGCGGGGCACCACTGTATAAAGATGCACATATGCCAATTACCAGCAGGAGGCAGCATTTCAACACAAATGGATTCTCCCAAAGTGGAAGATGAAAGTTCAGCATTGAGAATGCTGCTTGCCCCACATCTGCAGTTTTAGGAGACCCTCATGCTTATGTGACCTAACCAGATATGGGGGACAACCTTCTGGGGGCCACTTTCCGGAGCTAGACAGGGCCAGAGGCAAAAATGGGAAGAGCCTGCTATAAAGTAGGACAAATTTGTTATCAAGGAACCTGGGAACAGTAGCCTGTTCCAGAAGGAAACTTTCTCCAGTGGGCTTAAAATACAGAGACAGGGAAGCTGCGGCCTTCCAAACGCTCGTGGACTCACGTCAGCCCTGACCACTAGCGATGCTGGCTACTCCTGGAGTCCAGTGATATCAGGGGGGTGGGGGGCACAGGTCCCCCAGCCCGGGCATAAAAAGCCCCCCTCTATGGTTGTGGAGCCAGAGGCAGGAGGATAAGCTGGGATTATCCCTCACCCTAATGCAGCCAAGTGTGCCTCACCCCCTTGGTCTCCCCGGTCCACTTAGCAAAGGGATTCAAGGGGCCCCACCCAAGACGGTACCTTCGCAGAAAAACATGTCCCAAACGCGGAGCACAGAACTCCAGGGCAATGTCCTGGAGAAGGCGCACATAAACCACTCTGTCATGTACAGGATGGGGTCAATCTTCTGCTTGCTCAGATGCTTGTAGGCCACAGGGGAGACCTTGTGCAGGAGAGAGAAGAGGATCTCCCCATCCAGCTGGATGGCCTCCTGCGCATGGAGAGAGAGAGAGGGAAGGAACCTGGGTCAAGGGCAGGCAAAGGGGTAAGGAAAGGCCTGGGTTGTCACAGGACCACATGCTCAACTCCTGCTGGTCACATGACAGGTTGAAGGCCAAAAGGAACATAGGGAGATGCCTTATGCCAAGTCAGGCCATTGGGCCCATGCTGCTCAGGGCTATTTACACTGACAGGCAGCACCTCTGTGGCATTTCAGTCTCTCCCCAAGCTCTAGAGGATTGAACCAGGGATTGTCTGCTTGCAAGGGCAATGCTCTACCACTCAGCATGATTTTGAGGGAATTGGGTGTGGTTAGCCTGCGGAAGAGAAGACAAAGAGCCGATACAACAGCTATCTTCAAATATCTGGAGAGCTGTTCCGTAGAAGATGGGAGTGAGCTGGTTTTCTGCCGCTCCAGAGCAGAGGACCCAAACTAATGGATTCAAATGACAAGAAAGGAGATTTCGACTAAGCATTATGAAGAACTTTTGAACAGAGGTTGGATGGCCCTCTGTCAGGGATTCGTTAACTGTGCTTGCTGCATTGTGGAGGTTTCGACTTAGATTATCCTTGCAGCCTCTTCCAACTCTACAATTCTATTATTCCATGTCCCCTTCCTCCTCCCTGCTGAATTCTACAAGGGGCAACACAGACTGAAGATCGAAGAAGTTGCCATCCCTTGGACTAGCCTGCCCCTGTCAAAAGGGGCATTCAGGATTGCTCCAGTTAACTCACCAGCTTCTCACTGTAGTAGCCAGGAAGGTACTTCTCACAGATCTGCACAAGGCACCAGAACGCTTGCTGAGGGCAGGAAGGAAAAAGGAGGAAAGGCATCACTCTGAAGCACAGCACAGAGCTGATTGGAGCAACGTGCATTCAAAGTGGTCACTGTGCAGACTGATTTAACACCCACCCCACCGCTTTCCCCATCTGTGCAGTCCCATGATGGGAGGAGCTGCAACAGAGAAAATCTCCCCTTCTTAAGCAACTATTCATAGCTGCTTCATGCACCCCACTCACTCCCAATGCTCCCAGAGAGGCAACATTGTAAGTGAGCAGCACACAGAGAGCAGGAAGCAGCAGCCATTGGGACAGAGCAGCTGCCTGGACATCTCCAGCAGTTTCAACTACATCGAAGCGCGCGGGGGGGGGGGGGGAATGCACAAGGGGCTTCTTCAGCTCACCATGTGGAGCTGTGCCTGACATGCAATACCTTGTGTGGATATGGATAAGTCTGGCTAAAGATTCCCGGGAGTTTGGGGTGCAAATCCAGGGCCACGGTTACTGGGTCCCAAATTGCTTTCAAAGCCAGATTCCAGATAAGAGAAGTGTGAAGTACCACTGCAGGAAGAACCGCAAGGTCCATGTCAGAGCACAGAGACCCCCGCCCTTTTAAGCAAATTTAAACAGACAGCACAGGATGTGTATGGGGGCTGAAACACCTTCTCTCCCCAAGGGCTGCTGACCCAAACAATCTTGGCCTGCCAGGGGGTCCAATGAGGGTCTGACCTGTGGAGCCAAAAAGATTCCCTATCCCCGTCTTAGATGGAAGCGAGAATCAACCCAACAGGTTGATTAGGTTGATCTATGAGGGGAGAACTATGAATGGCACCTCAAGCTCCTTGGAGGTAAAGTTGGGATACAAATGTAAGAAATCAATCGGGGAACCTCTGTTCCAAGCAAAGCATCACCTACCTCTGCAGGCATGTGCATCAACAACACTGCAGCAATTGGAGCTTGGGCCTGGCAGTAACCTTCCTCTGGCCGATAGAGTGTGTAGGCCTTCAGTACCCGGAATAAGTCTTGCTGCCTGAGGGAAAGAGCAACCCATACCACAGGCATGAGAACTAAGGGAATGCAAAGTCTGCTGCTCATAAGTGGAGCCCTCAAGGACTCGAAATTGCATGCAAGCCAGGAGAGAGATGACGTCCACAGTAGGGATCACAGAACGAACTTCAGCTTACAGAGTCCTGGGTTCAAATCTTGCCTCTTTGCTGCTGCACCACCCCATCTGCCACTCTGGGGAGGCCTATTTTGCAAGGTTGTTTTAAGGCAAGTGTAGGAAACCTTGGCCCTCTGGATGTCACTGGACCACAACTCCCAGCATCTCTGACCATTCACCATGCTGGCTGTGGAGAGACGGGAGCCCATGAACATCTGGAGGGCCACAGGCTCCCATGCCCTGTCCAAAGAAGGATTGCTTTTACTGAAAGGGCTCTGAGTGGTTGAAAAGCGGTGTTAAAACAAAAAACAAAACGTCATGTTTGGCTACCTGAAAACAATCATGCTTGTGGTTTGCTTAGTAGAATTTCCATTCCCTTGGCAGAGCCTTGGAGATTAGCTAAGCTTGGAAGTTCTCAATGAAATTTCAAAGCGGTTCTCCTTGTCCCTCACCATGAGCTGAATTTCAGTTCTCCAAAGAGGGAAGGAACCTAGCGATCAGAGTTGAGACTTTGGCCCCTTGCCCTTTTCCATTACTAGCAAAAGCAGGGAGAGGGAGGTAAGAGTACAAAGTTGTAGAACTACAACCGATGTAATCACACCAAATCATGATGCAAGCTTGCTTATTTGCCTGAGCCACGGAGGCAGCAGGATTCAGCTGCCCTTGGTGCCAAAAGGTAACCTGAAATACTGCACCAAATGCTCACAGCCCTGTGAATATCCCTAACAATAATAAAACAGATTGATGGCAGCTGATGGCTTCCATGGTCTGAAAGGAAAGTGAACTGCCTCTATTTGCCCAAGGGTATTGTTTTCTTCCCTCCCCAGGCAACCCTCCCACCCCAAAGATTTGTCAGGCATGCCCAGAACTGCATCTCTTTGTATGCCAGACGTGCCCAGGTGGTCAAGGCAACCTGAATACCTGGCAGAGAGAACTTCCTTATAGTCACTGCCCTCTGCTAATCCACTTTCCTCAGCCCCCGCCAGCAAGACAAGAGGGTCAAGTGGGGTTGCCAAAGAGATTTCAGACAATGCCAACAACACAACGCTAGGCAACCTGCAACACACACCTAAAGAAAAGCTGGGAAGCCTGCCCAACGCTGGGGTCACCAAGCCACTGGGCGGGGAAGGTGGGTGCCCACGTGTTTGCCTTGAACAATAAGGATCAGCTGGTATTTGACAAGAGGAGAGACATTCTGGCTTACCCATGTCCTCCACGAGCAACAAACATTTCGTGGAAGGGAAACTGCCTGTGGAGATCCCGCTCGATCACATCCAGCCACTTGGGGTCTCCCGGCGCCAAATCCAGCTCCTGGGGAACAGACAGAGTACCCACTTTGTTAGTTGTGAGACTGTGATAGAAAATGAGTTGTTGGGAGAGGTTTTCCCCCAAGTATCCAAGGTGATCTCCTCTGGATTGATGCTGTTAAAGATACACCAAAGTGGATGCTTAAGAGATCCTTGTGCAGGGGGAAATAGTAAGATGGGCAACGACAAGACAGACTCTCAAATGAGGGAGTGTTGACACTGTGGGTTAAAGGTGAGGACAACAAACACCACCTCCCTCCACGAGTGAAGGAGGAAATGTACACCTCAATAAGAACATCAGAAGAGTCAGATGGATCAGGCCAATGGTCCCTCTAGTCCGGCCTCCTGTTCTCACAGCGGCTACCCAGATGTCTGTGGGAGACCCTCAAGCAGGACCTGAGCACTTTCCCCTGCTGTGGCTTCCAGGAACCGGTTTTCAGAAGCATTACTGCCTCCAACTATGAAGGCAGAGCATAGCCATTGATAGCTTTATCCTCTGTGATTGACACTAGAGGGGTTGAAGCAGAAAACACTCTAGTATCCCTGAACTAGGGTGCACATAACAGGATCAGAGAAAGCTGCCTTACAGCAGGTCAGACAATTTGTCCATCAATGGCTATCAACCCTGATGGCAGTGTTTACCTCTTGATCTTTGCGTCTGCCCATGTTTGTTCTCATTTATATATGCATGCACAATGCCACAGAGAAGGAACCCCTTTTCGTTACTTGCGCTAGAGAAATTATTCAGCACCAAAACGACATGTTCAATTTTTTGTTAAGGGTGCAATGTCCAGAGACTTGGTTACATTTTAGCGCCTTTTTGCAGACTTTGCCCTTTTAAAAAAAGTGAGTTGCCTCACAGGATCAGAGCAGGGTCCGAATTACACAAAGTGTTAAATGCATCTTTACAGTCCTCCTAAGTCACATGGACTTTTCCATCTAAGCAACCGAGAAGTCAGCACATCACATGGTAGCAGATGCCCTTGAATAACTCTGCACTGTAGGAATGGGGGCAGAGAGGTCGTCTTATCCCGCCTCGAGAAACGCCTTACATCAAACTTCCCGGAATTCTGCTCCAACTTGACTTTGCCTCCAGAGAGGTACTGCCAGGCCCTACCCCGCAGCGATGGTGGGATCCCCTTCTGGCATCGCAGCCGGATCTGAAAAGGCAAAAGAGTTATTGCAGAGGTGTGAGAAAGCCGTATTAAACACAGCATGCAAGAATTGCACACGAACACAGAAAGCAGGGTCAGGCGTCCCAATGCCTGACTGGGTTGCTTGTAGGATGAAACCCAGAAGGCAGCTGTGTGTTTAGTAGCTCACAGGCCCATACAAAGGCACCTATCTCTTTACCATGAACTCAGGGCCCCCTCTAGACATCTGTTTTATTGTGCATTGACAGTACTGGAAAGGTGACATATGAACTTGTTCTCAATACTGCTTGCACTTACAAACACTGAGTTGGATGGACTGCTTCATTTCCAACAGTGCACATCCCGTAGCTTCCTGCTAAAACCTTGTAACTTTTCATGCCACAAAAATTCAGAGGGGTGGGGGTGGGGGTCACCTACTTTCATTGAGCTGCAGTGCACAAGAGAGCCCCTCCAGGCAGCAGTATTGCTGCAACACTGGGGATGCATAGCAGAACAGCTAATAAACTGGAGCAACATGTGGACAGTTCAGTATAAATCCACCATTAATGCACTATTATTGCATCAGTAATGTGCTGCAGAATACAACAACAACAACAACAACAACATGACTCTACAGGAAATCTAAGCTAGGGTGACAGCAGCAGAAGCAAAAGTGGTGCTGCCAACTCTAACTACACGCTTGCATATTTTATCTGTGCTGCTCTAAAATGTGAATTTCTTTTTACTACTTTTCTGTGTTTGTCATTTTATTCGTGATCTTTTTAAGTTGCTGTAAATGGCTTGAGATTTTCTTTGATATAGGAAGCAGTGAATATCAATCCCCTAAATCAAACACTATAGATTTGCATGGGGGTGGGAAGCTAAGGGGTTCCTTAGAAAAAAATCAAGGACAGACACTCCAAAACAGCAGAGCATGTTTGGATATGGATGGGGGGCGGGCTGTGGGCAGGCAGAGAGAAAAGTCAACACGGGATGCAGTTGCATTCATGGGAAGGCGCCAGAGATTAAATGCTGGAAAACAAAGGAAATCTGAAGGTCTAGTGCAGACAGAGGAGTCAGCAGTCTAAGGCAGGGCCTGGCCACAAGAGTCCACATCGACGAAAACCAGTTGCAGGCAGACCTTTCTCTCTCCCCACCCCACCCATCCCAGGGTCTGTGGGAAAGGCAGCTTGCACTGCTAGTGCCAAAGGCAACTTCGGATGCAAACTCCTACCTCCTGCCAGACTCTTTGATGTTGGGGTGGAGGAGGAGCCAGGGAAAGCACAGGAGAAGAAACAGACAGCCTGAAGGGGGGAAGCATTGAAAAGTTTGCAGTTGTCAGGGCCCCACAGGGAGCAAGGTTCAGCCCATTCTAGGAAAGAGCTTGAAAACACAGTCGGTAGAGGCGATGGGCTCCCTGTAGGGCTGGCACATTGACAGAGCAAGTGCTGCCAGGAATTTGCAGTCACAAAGGGAAAGGCCTCCTCTGGGACGTGCCAGGTGCAAATTCAAAAGCTGACCTGGGGAAGTGGGCAGAACTTGCCAGGGCCAAGGAGGCTTCAGAGAACCGCACAGTCCCTTTAAACCCACCCACCCCGTGCCCAACAGAAGTGGGGGCAGGCGTGATGTGGCACCATTGATTCAGGTTGCAAAATCCAGCCACCTTTTGTGCAGGTGAATACAAGTTAAGTTGGGCACAAAAATAAGAGGGGAAATGTATTTTCCATTGGAATGGTACTTGCAACATGCTTTTATTTATTTTGGTTCTCCCACCCAGCCACCCATAACCAGGGAAGTTGGCCTGACAGGTGCCCCCGAGCTACCTGCATTCTAACTCCTCTCGTTACTTAAGAGGGAAGTTGGGGAAAGGGGGTGGGGCAGGGCTGTGTCCAAGGCATAGCTGTGCCCCATATGATGAAGCATGGTGTCTGTTTCAATAGTTCCTACAAAATCCTAAGCAGCATGGGTTTTTAGGACAAAAGTTCCTAGTCTTCATGGTTGCATGGAAAACCAGGGACTTTACCAGACGAGCCTTTGGTATCGTGTAGAAGCTACTAGTTTGTGCCCTACACACTTTGACAAGGCATGTCAGACACTGATCCAGTTCACCAATCTGATTACACTTCAGTTGGGGTTTCTATCTCCGTACACTCCCACCTTTGATCTCTCCAGAAAGGCGGCGGGGGGGGGGGGTGTTGGGCTGCACCTCCAAAAAATACAACAGAGGGATTTTTGTGTAAGAAGTGATCAAAGTATTTTGGGTAAGACAACCTGCTAGAATGTTTATGGCTACTTTCGCTACCTTCCAAACTCTGGCTCCGTGGTGAGGCTTACCCACATCAATCCCAAGTTCCTAGTTCTTCCAGTTTAAGACTGCACTCTTAAAGCCCACTCTGATCACCTCCAAGGGAGGTTCTGCAGGGGGAGCTCTAAGCCTGTCCTATGCCACAGCTGGTAGGACAGCAGGCTCAAAAGTGCCAGGGAGTGTCCCAAAATACACACACAGCAGTGCTATCTTGCTTGGTGACTTCACAGGCAGGAAGGAAACAGACAGGAGGAGTTTAACTGGATGCCGCTTGTTGAAAGCTCTGTCTCAACAAAGCTGAGCCAAGCTCCTCTCGATTAGGGAAGCAGATGGATTCCAGCTTTGCATGGGGGCGGTGCAGGGAGACAGAACAATTAAAAGGCCCAGCAGGACAAAGGATCCCTGGGAATTTCTGGGTACAGAGTCACTGATCTTGGCAGGGATGGCAGATTCTGTCTGCACAAAGCAGAAGCTGTTATCATGGGATGAGCCGACAGTGTAAACAGGAAAAAAGGGGGATTCCCAGCCTGTGCATACAAGGGATTTGATGCAGGATAACAAGTCCTGTTGAGAGATCCCTGTCCACAAAGCCTGTATGTTTAGCAAGCCCCCCCTCCTATGATGGGGTTGAGGAGGGGGCACTAAGACCAAGAATGAAATGTTAACAGGAAATGCTTAGCTTCACCATCAAGCCACAATTATTCCTACTGTTTTTGATTTTGCTTTGGGTTTGTTTGTTTTTTAATTCTTACTATTTGAGTCCAGAACAGGAAAAAACTTGGAAGACCTAAGAAGCACTTTAGGGCCAAGCTCCGTCTGACAAGTATCTTGAATCACTGCAGGTTGCTGGCACAATGGATTTGTGAGGTTTATCAATGCGTTTGCTTTACTTGGCCAAGTTGGTCAGCATACCGATTATGAGGGACTGCAGTCACTGCTATGGAAGTCAGTGAGGATTATCAACCAGTAGAGATGGCTCTATTTGGTCACCAAACCACAATTCGGAAGTCATGCAAGTGAAGGCCCCAGACTCACATTCTGCAAGCTAGAATTGTGAACCACAGTTTGATCAGTGGAGGCTGGTTCATGAGGGTGAATAAAGTACTGCCCCATTAACCTCCGCCAGCCCTCACCAGCTCTGCCAGCGGGTGGCAAACCTTAGCTTCAGTGTTACCTTTGCAGAACTCAGTAGGGGAGAGAATGCCATCAAAACCAGAATTAGCTGGCTCTGCTTGTCTTTGTCCCTGGCTCCCTGCCTTCTATCCTACCAGCCACTGCAGTTTGATCATGGCTCAGATGTTTATAGTGAAGTGTGGTTTGTGCTAAATAGAAAAAAATAGAACCCCAGAATTGTAGAGTTGGAAGAGACTTTGAGGGTCATCTTGTTCAACCCCTTGCAATGCAGGAATCTCAGCCAAATCATACATCTGCTTAAAAACCTCCAAGGAAGGAGAATCCACCACCTCTCGTGGTAGTCTGTTCCACTATCAAACAGCTCTTACTGTCAGAAAGTTCTTCCTGATGTTTTTCCTACAGTGCAAAGGGAATGTGAGGGTATGAGCTTTCAGTATGTCCCTGATCATGAGTGTTGTATCTGAACCGAACTTTGAATGAAGGACGGTATATAAATTTAATAAACAACAACCTAGCAGGCAGGACTTAAGCATTCTCTCCTTGTCCCCCTCTTTCATCCAGCATATGGAGCTACCTAACAGGGGTGTTTTACAAATGAGATAATCAAAGAGTGCTCTATATGTGTCATGCATTAGTAGTCCATATAGAGAATGGACAGGGGTGTGAGTTACCGATTCCGGCAAGGTTAGGAAGACTCTTGCATGCCCATGCAAGCACAAATCCAAATGTTATCATCTTGGGATAAACTGACAGTATAAAGAAGTCCACAGCGGGTTAAGTACATCCTGGGATTCCCAGCCTGTGTAAACAAAAGCTTTGATTCAGGATAATAAGCCCTGCCAAGAGGCTGACTGGAAGCCTTTCCCAGCAATCTGCGGCAAGCTTTGCAGCATGGCCAAGTCAGATCAAAGCAGAAAGGGTTTCGCTGACACACAGAGGCAGGGCAACACAAGCCCTGAGCCCTCATCACAGGGAGACATTTTGCATCAGGAAGCCTGCCTTGGGTAGAAGTATAGTTCAAGCCACCTTGCCTGTTTGAGTGCGCAGTCTGCTCTCAATCAAGATGCTGAAATGCAAGAGGCAGAAAGGGGAAATTGTGGGAGGGCAAGGCAGTCTGATTGCCCTTCGGATGCGTCATCATGATACACTGCCAAAAGCCCTTGATGTGGAAGATGTTATGAAAAGCAGGATGATCTGCTGCTAAAACGGACCACCTGGGAAGGTGGAGTCCTAACCTGGAGCGCAGAAACAACACTCCCCCCCCAAAAAAAATATGGTGCACTGACTTTTGCATCATTCATGTGATTATCTCATGTTGCAAATTGTTTCGTTTTTTAACATTCTGGCAAAGAAAGGAAGCAAAGAGCACAGGAAACAGAGGAAAGGTAAAGTCTGTAGTGACTGGGTCACAGCATGTATCGCCCTGCCCAAGAGTGGCTCTACACATCAACTGCGGCTATAGCAGAAGACAATGTGGCACAGGAATGTTCAGCAAGTGTTAAAAAACATAATACGGTGAAAGAAAGAGGAAGAGAGCAACAGCCATCACCCGACGCTTGGCCAGCGACTCACCTTTTTGTGTTTCTTTGCCATCCACTTGTCCCAGTTGTTGAGCATATCTAGCCACTTGGATTCCCTCTGCCTCAGCACCTCCAACGGCACCTCCTCCAGCCTAGGAAAATGAAGGTAAAAGGCCAATTTACCCCTCTGAAGGTGATCAGTCTATCACAGTAGTGAGAAAGCTGTCGGCCTCCAGATGTGGCTGGGCTACAACTCCCAACGCCAAATGTGAGAAGCAAAACAACAACAAAACCACACCATTGCCAAACTCCCATTTTCTCTCTGATCTATTTGCAAGCCCCATCTGGAACCACCCAGTTAACAGCCACCCTTCCCAGGCTATAGGAATCACTTCCATGTCTAAAAACCTTGGGCTCTTCCAGAAGACCTGTTCATTCATCCTGATTTGGTTGCACAAAGCTTACATAGCGGTTAGACTATGTCTGGTATTTACTGAGTTTTTGCTTGGGTCTGTTTACGGGGCGGTTATGCAAAAATTAACATTCATCCCAATTTGCTGTTAATCATCCATTCGTTCCATACTTTTCAATGTCTTTCCATGTGACTTTCCAAGCTGTAAAAAGCCAATTGCATACAAGAGATTCCTCAGCACTCCCCCATCCAGGTGAGACAAAAACTAGGCTCTGCTAAGTTTCAAAGATGACTTACACACTCATGGTTGTAGCCAGGATTTTTGTTAGGGGAGGGCAGAACCTCAGGTATGTACAGTATTGATTTCCCCCGAAAGGGTTCTTAATGAATCACCCCTCTAGTCTAGGGAATAGACAGGGTGAAGCAGAACAATTGAGTGTCTTGTGACCCTAGACAGCCTCACTCATGTCCTTTTTAAATTTATCCCACGGATTTGAAATATCTAAACTTGTAATGCCAATAAAGGTATTTGTATGGTATGGTTTTGTATTGTATTCATTTTTATTGATAGGGGCAGCTGCCCCCCCCCCCCGCCTCCCTTGGCTACGTCCATGTACACACTGAGCTTCTTTGGATCATAATCCGCTACCTCCTGCACTTCCATCACAAAGCAAGCACCCTCTCTCAACTGTAATCCATGAGTCACTCTGCCAATATGCAAACTGCAATATTAATATTAATAATATATTTACACGCCACCCATCTGACAGGGTTGCTACATTCTGCCAAATATTGAAGGCACACCCACCACAACAATGGGACTGCTATAATCATAGTCCTCGCTCCCTAGGGATTCCTGGGAATTGTAGGCTGGAACTCAGCTTGGGAATTCTCATCAACCTCAAACCACAATTCCCAGGATTCCTTAGGGAAAGAAAACAGATGAACCAATTGTAAGATGCTGCATTCAGCAGCAGATACAGTCCCTGGACCAACCCCAAGCATAGCCTCCCCCGCCCCCCACAGCACATCACAGTAATTGGCTTAGTATACATGGAAACCTGGGAGAAGGGGACCATATTATCCTGCACCTCAGGCAGCAAACAGTCTTGAGCCAGCCCCAATAAACCCCATCTGTGCCGCACAGGAGGGGGGTAGCAGAGCTGGAGCACCCCATAAGTGAGGAAAGCAACCGCCAACACAGAACAGGCACCAGCTACGCAACTCCCTAGGTTCAGCAAGCACAACTAGTTACCATACAATCTGCAAATCAGGGTCAGGCAAAGTTTTCAGAAGCTGGGCCAGGGAATCAGGAGGCATTTTTTTAATAGAAAAAAAAGGAAGTAGACAAGGCCAAACCATCCCGCCCACCTTGGAACTGAGCTGGCTGCTCCCACTTTCTCTGCCGGAAATGTGCATTTATGGAATTTCTAACGCTGAAAAGCCAAAGCCCAGTCCACTCACTTCCTCCCCCCTCCAGGCCTCTTGCAATGCAAGAAGAGTAGCAGAAGGGAGAAGCCAGCACAGGCTGCAGTCAAAAGACTGGGCAGATAGGAGTGACAGCAATGCACAGAGAATGGCTGGTGGAGGAAATTGAGCCCTAAACATCATGTCCAGGAGTTCACTGGCTTGCTTTAAGTAGGGCAAAACTCTGTCCCCAAGCAATACCAAATACTGGTGTGTGTGTGACCCCAGTAGGATAAATCAGACCATTTTTTCCAAGGTCACAAGGTCAAAAATTAAGAGGATTTTTTGGCCTGGAGAATTTTGTACAGATCCTTTCAACTAGCAGGAGCTTTTTCCAAGAGCACAATAAGGCTTGGCAGTGGTGACTGAACTCAATGCACGTCCTGTCAATGTACTATGAAATGGGGAGGGGGGATTTCAAGCACAGAATAGGAGCTGAACTCTCACCACTTTGTGGCTAACCTGGGGCCCTCCAGATGTCAATAGACTTCAACTCGCATGAGCAGCAGCCAGCATGGCCAATAGTAAGTGATTATGGGAATTGTAGTCCAGCGAGGGCCAAATGCCACCCTTGGTAGGAAGAAAGAAGGTAGGGAGAAAAATCTTCTTGGGGCAATGCACAGATGCGCTTGCCCATGATAAGTCTTAAGTCACCCTTTACAGAGAATCAGCCCTAAACCACAGGTGGGGAACAAGGGCCACATTCCCTCCTAGAAAACCTTCCAAGGGCCACAGGCCAATGGGGGCAGAGCAAGCAATGCAAACTTTAGCTTAGTACAGCAGGCTAGTTCCCGCACACATTCACACTTCCCTCTGCATCCTCCATCCATGGAAGCAAGCAGAATCAGAGTTCAAGGACAAGACAAGCCAAGCAAACACATTTCAGGTGTGAAGCAGAGCCAGTAAGTGGAGCAGCCTGGAAGGCCACTTTTGTTCACAGGATTGAGGTTCTCCACCAGGGCCCTAAACCTTCTCCAGGTGCTTATTTTAAAAACACATCCTCCCCAGAACTGGAAGGGCCCCCCCCCACATCACACAGTTTCAATCTAGATTCCATTCTGCACACCTGCAGATGCAAGACATAAGCCAAGGCCTGCCGATAAGCATGGTAATCGGGCAACAGTGCCTCGATGTATCAATAGGCAGAAGTCACCACCAAGGCCAGTTTCCCTTGAACAAGTCTCAACAAGCAGCCAATAACTGTATAATCAATAACTGTACATGGTTTATTCATTTTTTTACCCTTTTGAGTCACTTGCATTCTCACAGTACTAGAGAATGTACATTTTAAACCCACTTACTCCAGCAAAGGCTTAAGGTAGGCAACAGAACTAAATGCCAAGAATTCCTTGGCTGATTGTGCTGAGATTGTGCCAAAGCACCTGGGATTTGGGGGGGGGGGAGAGAAGGGAGAACCAGCTCTGTGCCTGGCTTAAACATGCAATTCAGCTACAGGCACTGAGCGATAGGGAGCCTATAATGCACTCCTTCAACACATTCTGAGCCAAGCATGAAGGAAATGGGAACCATCCATTGCAGAAAGCCTCAAACATTCTCCACAGATGGCCAGCATTGGAAGCTGCTTTACGAAGAAGTCCAGCACCATCTGGAGGGCCACAGGTTCCTCATTCTTGGTGCAGGATGAACAGGCGCTCTAATGTTTTTTCCTCCTGAATCATTTGGCTGAGGCAGTAAGGCCTGCTCATTGGGGGGGGGGTAGAGAGGAGGGGGCTAGGGATCTTTTAATCTGATGCTTGGAATGGACCCAACTGCTTGTGCCTGAGGCTCTCAGGGCTGCCTAAACAGGCCTTTGTGTACCTCTGTGAACAGGCTAGACGATTCATTAGGAGTTCGGGGGGCTGGACAAGGTCCCCTTTGTTTTCACATGGGGGCTGGAAAAAAGCCGGGATGCAGAACGGCCTCAAGAGGAAGTAAGTGCACAGCTCACTGCCAGCAGACACACCAGGTTGCCTCTCTGATGGCCTTCTGGTGCCACACACAGTAGGAATGCCACCTAGGCACATTTTGAGGCCCCGGTTCAAGTGTGCCAATGAACTTGCATCAGGAATAGCCCACCAGGGCCAATCCTCTGAGTCTACAGTGATGCTAGGTGAAAGCACAGGAACATAGGATGCTGCCTTATACAGAGCCAGTACTGCCTACACTGGCTGGCAGCATCTGCCCAGTGTTTCAGAAAGTGAATCCCTCCAAGCCCTACCTGGAGATGCCAGGGATTGAACCTGGGAACTTCTGCATTAAAGCTCTCCCACTGAGCTATGACCCTTGCCCAATCTTTCTAGGAGAGCTAGCACACAGGTGATGAGACGGGGCTGTGAGCCAGCAAAGTCAACTCAGTTCACATCTCCCTGGTGGGTTCTGTCTGGTGCCACCATTAACCACCTTTCAGGGCCAGGTAAAAAAAATTCTCCCGGGTATTTGGGGAATTACTGCGGTTGTGCTTTCTATTAATGGCATGTTTTTGCTGTTGAAATCTTCCCTGTTTTTTCCATAGGTTATTGTATGGCTCTTATTGCAACTAACTGATCCCCCAGCCCCAATTTTATGTCAAGCTGTACACTCCTAAAATGTTTTAAGTCGCTCAGAGACTCTCACGCGCAAGCAACTAATAAACTGAATAAACATTAAACAGGTAAGTGCCTCTGTCCAGTGGTTCCAGCACCACAGTCAGCAGACAGGGGGCCCTAATGGAGCAGGACTGGCTGACCACATTTTGGCGTAAGTGAAGTGATACATATTACCAACAAAAGAGGGAGGGTGGTGGTAAGGTAATTAGGCTCTGGATTTATTAGTTTAGCTGCATGACTACCTGTTACAGACTGGCCTAAGGCAAGTTGTTTTTGTCTCAGCCACAATTGCACACACTCACCACTGCAATGGAAAGAATAGTGACCTACCTTAAAGGGGCTGTTAAGGATCACAGACAAAGTCAGCAGAATCATGGTGTTACTATGACTGGAAAGGACACGCCCTGGCACAGTTTATCTTGGACGGCAAGAACGAGCACTTATCCCCTTTCACCACAAATTTGGCTGCTAACCTATTAATTTACCCCAACAGCAGTCACATGGGGAATACCAGGAGGCAAAGGGCCATCCACACCTGCCATCTCTAGCCTGCCTGCTCTAACTCTGTGTTCATCATCTCAGGTCATCCAGACGGTGACAGCACAAGAATGCATTTTTCAGTGGTAGCTCCCTACTTGTAGAATTTTCTCACAAGGGAAGCAGGCCTGGCACCATCACAGGCTACTTTTAGGTGCTAGGCTTTTGGCCTTTAATTTGGAGGGCGGTAGACATCATGGTTTCTATTAGCAGGCAGGATTTGTTAGACTGCTTTTTATGTATATCAGTGTTTTCCGCTTTTGTTTTGGCTTTACATTGGTTTTAATGCTTCTTTATATTATATTGTATGCCATAAAAAGTCCAATAAGTAATTAATAATAATGATAAACTTAATCTAGAGAAAACAGCCATGTTTTTCTAACACCTCCTGACCTAGATAGCCCCATCCTTTTAATCCAAAATGGATATTGACCATCTGCTGTGGCCATAAATCTCTCTTCCATCCACTCATCCATACACACCCCATATGGGCAAGTCAAGAAATACCACTGACTCACTCGTAAGGGATCATGAGGAGACAGTTGAATCCCCTCCAGAGAGCAAATTCACTCATCCCAACCATGGTTAAGGGGTACATCAGCAGCAACCCTAACCACAGTTAACATCAACCAGGGTTCCTTCTTCTGAACCCTGGGCACAAAACCTACATTCAAACTGCTATGCTTGCACCAGGTCCACAAAGTCACCAAAGCAGATAATCCAAATCTGACTTCTTGTGTCAGATAAATCAACTGTGCTTGCCTGACCTTCCTGAGAACTTGAAGCCTGCACAGGTTGATTTGATAATACAATCTGCACCAGCTTATAAACAGTTTGGCGACACACTGCCTAGCTGCATTGGCCCTATTCCAGGCTAGATTACCGGTTTCAGGCTAGGGAGAAGGAGTAACAGACAATAATAATCTATGAATGTGGGAGAGGTTCTAGGAGCAGGAAGCCAAGCAAAGTTGCACTGACAGATGCAGTCTTAGTGCAGGAGGGTGACCGGAGGCACAGCTAACAGAACCAGCACAACTCAGTTTTTCCGGGTGTTGCCGAAAAAGGAGACATAACTCTAGAAACAAGCAATGCTGCCAAACCAGACTGAAATTAAAACTGGGGGCAGCCAGGACAGCACATTCCACAGAGATCTAACTGGCTCTTTGCACAGAAGCGTGTGGCCTTACTAAATCGAGAGTCCATGATGCAGGGGCTTCTCCCCACCCCATCAGCAGTTTAGGGGTTTCGAGAGCCAGCAAGTCTATGAAATTCCTGGATATCCAGCATGTCTAATAAAAACTGAAGCTAGAGCGATAAGCAAGGCAACTTTCATCCAAGACCTGCCCATTTTATTCCCCAGTGGAAAGATGCATCAGTTTCTGTTAGACCTGCTGGGTTTCTGTCAGCTCAGAATTCCCTGTTTGCTCTTCAACTCCCGGCTGCTGATGGAAAAGCCAACATTACACCTACGTATGGGGTGAAAAATTTGGGTTGGTATGAATCTGAAAGTGAACCCTCCTAACTCATACTTGCTGAAACAATATGCAAACTTTAAAGCAGCCACCCTTCAAAACTCACATTTCTCCAAATTTTGCAATGCATTCTCAAACCAAAAAATATATACAAAAGTACAAATATTAGGGGAAAGCATACATAAAATGCGCATATTAGTAGAAAACCTAGCAAAATACATTTAATATAAGGCAAAACTGCTAACAAAAAAAGCATTATCAGGAGATTGTACACAGTAAAGGGCTGATGAATTTTTGTGAGAACTTTTTATACAGTCGTACCTTGGAAGCTGAACACCTTGGCTCCCAGAAGTGAGTGTTCCGATTTTCGGAAGCCGAACATCTGGCATGGCTTCTGATTGGCTGCAGGATGCTCCTGCAGCCAATTGGAAGCCACGTTTTGGTTCTCAAATGATTCCAGGAGTCAAACGGACTCCCGGAATGCATTCTATTCGAGAACTGAGGTACGACTGTATTTTAAAAAATCATAAACTGATGGAGAAATGTAGAGAAGAGAACCTAAAGGGATGGGGAAATGAGAAAGTGAAATTGACAAATTCATCCATCTCTAGTTACACCCAGCTTCCACCTACATAAAGAATTGACTGCCATCAAAAACAGGCCCAAATATAGGAGTCTCTACAAAGCACTTCTGGAAAGATGCTCAGGCTCTGACTTTGGCAAACCTCCAAGGAAGAGCAGTAGCCACAAGATTTATTTATTTATTGGATGTGGTTTAAAACTCTACCTCTCCGTGTGCTCAAAACTGCTTATTAACAAAAATACACATTAATTCTATAACCAAACCATTCTGGGAACACCCACACACAGCTGCAGCAGTATTCTATTTAGATATTGGACTGAGTGAAGGATTCTGACTCCACTCTTAACTGGGGCTGGGGAGGGAGAAAGGGGACTCCCAGAGCAGCTTACAAATATCAATCCCACCAACAGTTAGCGCCCTCAATATTACGGTCTAAGAGACACAACACAAAAGGGGAAAGTGGCAGGAAGGGAAAAAGAGAGAGATGAAAATCAGCTCAAACAGTTCTGTCATTCCACCAATCCTTACTTAGTAGAAGCCTTGAAAAATATGGTAATTACAATTTTCTTCAAGGAGATGTACCAACACATGGAGTATTATTGCATAATTTGAGATTCCAAGAATTCTGCTAGCGATGTTTCAATCTTCTGTAAAGGGATATATGGAGTCCTATGACATCTGGAGGGCCATAGGGTCAACACACACACCCCTCCTAGTATAGAGGGTGTGATCCTCTCCAAACATTACATCTCAATCTGCTTGCTGGATTTCCTCTAGTGGACAGATCAGGATGAATTTGCACTCTCCCACCACCTTAACACTATTCAGGGCTCCTTGCTTCCTCTCTACTTACAGAGCAGAGAAGAAAGCAAGAGACCTGGGCATAAGAAGCATTTGAAATCTTTTCTTTGGGAGGGTGGGAAATTAAGGTCCTAATCTGGCTCTACTGGAAGAAGCATTTTTAGTTAAGGTATTCTCCCAGCCTCCTTCTCTGGGCTTGCTCCTTTTTAATCCTACAACCACCCTGTGAGGTAGGTGAGGCTGAGAGAGCACACCCAGCAAACTTGGGGGCTGGTGACAGAATTTGAACCTGGCCCTCTCTAGTCCAAACTCAACCTTCTAGCCTCAACAACACACTAGCTAGTAGTTCTGAATATGCACTGGCCATGCATGCACCGGGAATGCCAAGTCAGTGCTTCAAAGCTCCCCACTCTCTCTGCACCTCAGTCCCTGCTTGTATATGAGCTGCCATTTTACAGTCAATGACAATTGTCTCAAGAAGGATGGGAGGCAGTGCACAGGTACTCAGCCTTGCTCTTTTGCACAAGAATTGCCAAGTATGAACTCCTCCAAAATTCACGGGTGAGCTTTAACAGCAGGCTCATCCGCAGCTCCAAAGTGACACCCACCCACTCTTTTCACAAAAGCGAGAGATTTTCCCATTCCTCCTGTAGGAAGGAGATTCTGAAGGGAGCCAGATAAAGCTGCTTATCTGACAATGCTTAAGCCAAGTGCACATCAGTGTGCAAAAATCCTGCGCTTGAATGGAAAAACCAGTTTTGCAGCAGACAAGAATCTGGCATGGCTTGACGGAAATGGAACAGCAAGATCCTGGAGCCTGGAATAGCTGCCAGAGATTCATTCCCTGCAGATTCTAAAAGCACTGGGCCTTCTTCTAGCCCACTTCATGTAGCTGGTGCCGGCTAAACGTCTATTACTGGTGGTGGAGCAGATGAGACATCTAAGCCATGTGCCTTTCCTAACTATCAAGGCCCAGCTGAATCTACATGCTCAGGCCCATGCTTCACTAGATAGGAAGCTGCCAAATACAGAGTCTGACCATCTAGTTCAGTGTTGTCTACACTGACTGGCAGTGGCTCTCCCAAATTTCAGGCAGGGGATCCTCCCAGCCCTACCTGAAGATGCTGAGGATTGCGCCTGGGACCCTCTGCATGCCAAGCAGAAGCTCTACCAGATCAATCAGGCCAGCCCAATTTCCACAGTGCCATTGAACACTGATGAACAAAGGTAAAATTTGCCCAACCACTTCAGTAAGAGGTTATTCAAATCTCCCTACCATCTTTTATACAGTGGTACTTCTGGTTGCGAACGGGATCCGTTCCGGAGGTCTGGCTGTATCCCAAAGTTTTCTCAACCGGAGAGACCGCTTCTGCACATGTGCATGCGGTGGTAGACCGCTTCTGCACATGCACGAGCGGCAAAACACTACCAGGTTTGCCGCTTTCGCAACCCGAAGTTTACGTTACCCGAGGGTAACGTAACCCAAGGTTCCACTGTATATAACTGTAACGTATGCATGAAGAAGCTTATTAGTTAAACTGATTAGGCATGTATGCCAAAAGGTGGGGTGTACTTTGTGCTTTAAACACAATATTGTGCACCAAAGTAACTCAAACTTTAAGAAGCACAACTTGTGAGTCATGTCAAATTACACAAAGCATGTAATGTCCAGTGGCAAAGCTCCTGGCAGTGATCGGCAGAGCTGCCCTGAAGTCTCTGGCTGCCACTGGCTCAGCTGCTCTGACTCTTAAGAGGTCATGCTGAGCTGCTCTTACCCTAGAGAAGCAGGGCACATGGATGGGCCTAGGAAAGGAGATGTAAGCAGCATGAATATCAAAATGAAGGTCTGAGAGGAAATGGTCAGAATGAGGGCAGAGGGGAGAAAAACAGAGGAAGGAGTCAGAGTTGGAAAACTAGGAGGCCACATAAGTCAGCTTAAGAGGTGAAGAGTCAAAGGATATAAGACTTTGGCTGCAGGCCTCTGAGTAAATATCCAGCCGGTTGTTCCGACCACAGGCCAACAACACAATGAAGTTTGGAACACTTCAACCACCAGCATAATAAACCACCTCCTGCTAGCCAACTGCTCTCAACCATACCCATCTCAGAAAATGAGAAAAAGCCTTCAAGCTTTTTACTCTGGAAGGCGGCCTGCCACCATGCTTAAAATGGACTGTAAACTACACAACGTCCCTTGCCAACCCCTTTAGTCACTAGCTTCTATTCTCAAGTTAAGCCCTAGGTTTCTATACTCTGGACTCATAAGGCTTTACCCCTTCCTTCATTCTGATCCCTTGCTCTCAGCAACCCATTTTCCTTTTAACTTCCTCAGGTTCCTGCTTTCCTCTGCTCCCCTTAACCTAGGTGTGAGGAGCCTCTGCCCCACCCCTTTGCCCCATATGTTCCTGAACTACAACTCCCATCAGCCCCAGCAAAAGTGGCCAATGGCCAGGGATGATAGGCACTGCAGTTCAGCAATGTGTGGAGGGCCAAAGGTTTTCCATATCTGCCTTAATACCCACACACAGCTTTTTAATGACCAAATATTGGGAAGTGAGATAATAAAAGCTTCTGCTTCCCCATCAATCATGTACTGGCTTTATTGAAGCGTTTTCTAGCTTGATTTACACACTAGATTTGTTCCGCTTCTTTGTCAGAAAACAAACCAGTGGCACCGCTTGCTTCATTGCAATAAAAGAGCTCAGTTAGAATGTGGCACATCTTTGGTGCAGGCCACCCCTAGGCTAATCACTTTTGCAACAGCATCCCAATCCCACCACTCTGCCTAGTGCAGCATTACTTTAGGAACTAGATGGGATTTTAATGTGGAGCAAAGGCCCTGCTTTGACCTAGTTTTAAACGCACAATTCACACACCCCACTCACCCTTCTTTTCTTTTCTTTTTTTAAAAAAGAGCAAACCACCAGATTCATTAGGCTAGATCTTGCTTCTGATGCTATTTGTCAGCACAGAACAGATGAGGATGAGCTGCTAATAAATCCAATTTTAAAAAGACATGTTATTTACAGGCAAGCTGTACAAGTATTGTCAAAACATATGGGGAGGACAGCTCCCCACATTATAATTTAAATGACAGATGCCCAGAACCTGACATCTCACTCTGCCCTTAGGGTGCAGGAAATGGTTTACCCAACTCTGAAGGCATATTAGACCTGCACCATTTGCAAACAACCACTGAGGTAAAAAAATGGGTCATTGCAACTTAGCATGAAGGAAGTTCTGCTTCTCCTCCAAGTTCAGGAGCGTGTTGTCTCAACAATTCTGAGTCAACCTTTGGTAGGTGCGGCCAGTTTTAGGGCTATAATGTCCACTTGCAGCAAGATGACGACTTGATGAGCTTTAACCTAGGCTTTAAAAAATAGCTTCTAGTTAAAGAAGGTTTTCTACATGTATTTGAAAAGAAGAGCCTGGTCACTGGTCAGGCCAGTGGCCCATCTAATCCAGCATCCTGTTCTGGCCAATCAGATGCCCCAATGGGAAGCTTGTCAAGCTGGAACTGAGTGCAACACATCTCTCCCCACCTGGATTCCTGGTAACTGGCATTCAGAGGCATTCTGCCTCCTGATTGTGGAGGGATAACACAGACAAGGTGGTAGGAGGGAAGAGGGCTCCGGACATCTGCTTTTGGGGGAACAGATGCTATTCTTTTTTAAAAAAAAAAAATCAGGATATTTAAGAACTGCCCCACACCCAATTTGCAGGTATGCCCCACCCAGTATGTTTGTATGCAAACATAATATTACATGACATCTCCCCACAAGGAGACCTGCCCTGTCCAGGTCTTATTATTAATTTATTGTGGACGGTGATCTCTCAAGGCTGCATGCCCTTTGCAAAGATATTGCTTAGGTTTATCTCATTTACTCAAAGGGCAGGGGACTTTCTTTCTATTGAAGGCTATACTCCTTTCAAAGGTAATCAAGTGGGGGTCGTGCTGGTAATGGATGGGAAAAGGTTTGACGTCTGGGGTGAAATACCTTGACTTTTTCTCTCTGCCACCCCCTTTTCCTTCCCTCCTCCCCTGAACATAAGAAGACCCTGCTGGATCAGGCCAGTGGCCCATCCAGTCCAGCATCCTTTGCTCACAATGGCCAACCAGATGCCTTTTCTGGGAAACCCACAAGCAGGACCTGAGCACAAAGCACTCTCCCCTCCTGTGGTTTCCAGCAACTGGTGTTCTGAAGCATTATTGCCTGCAGCTAACTGACCAACTGTGTTGCAGATAACTCTGCCTGCCCCCCTAAAATAAATCTTAGATATGCCCATGTCCCCGGAACATAACCCTTATGCAAGTTGAAAGTGTCTTGTACTTTGCCTCCTGCATCAACCTAAGGACAAAAGCAGATGCACAGCCCCAAACAGGCAACTCCCAAATCACAAAGAAAACTAGAAAAACAAAACAAAATCTCTTAATTTTTGTAGGAAGTGGGTCTGGAAAGACACCTGAATGGGAAAGGCTACATTAAGCATACTTTCAATGTACTACTCAAAGTGCTTAATGCAGTCTGCTGGTCAACCTCCCAGCTGCAGAGGTCTTCCACTGTTTGCCCCAGGCACCCATCCAAGCAGGATGTATTTGCCTCCTACCACAGCTGCATCTGTTCTCCCTCTAATCTTTGTTTTTCTGTTCTCTAGCCCCTTTGTCACCATCTTTCCTGGAAATGAGAGACTTTGGACCAAAATAATATTTAAAACTGCAGCAAAATCAGAGAAATCTGGAAAAGGCACCAAACTGCTTCTCGCACATTAACAGGATGTGTATTCCGTGTGCGTGCATATAAATTATGTAGCACGGTCTCTCAATCCAGGCCTCAGGCCTCTCCCTAGCCATGCCTCCTCTCCAAACTTCACCTCTCAATGTATCCTTAAACTTTGATCAATGCTCTCTCCTACCTGTATTGGGGGGGGGGGGCGCTGTGGGTTAGACCACAGAGCCTAGGACTTGCCAATCAGAAGGTCGGCGGTTCGAATCCCCTTGACGGGGTGAGCTCCCGTTGCTCGGTCCCTGCTCCTGCCAACCTAGCAGTTTGAAAGCATGCCAAAAAGTGCAAGTAGATAAATAGGTACCGCTCCAGCGGGAAGGTAAAAGGCGTTTCTGTGTGCTGCTCTGGTTCACCAGAAGCGGCTTGGTCATGCTGGCCACATGACCCAAAGCTGTGTGCCGGCTCCCTCGGCCAGTAAAGCGAGATGAGCGCCGCAACCCCAGAGTCGGCCACGACTGGACCTAATGGTCAGGGGTCCCTTTACCTTTACCTGTATGGGGAGAGGGGTGTGTATAGAACCCTTTGATGTTTGCTTGTCTGGAAAACAGAGTAATGTACAAAGGAAAGAGCCATGTGTTGCTCCAGCCACTTCTGCCTCTGATCCCATCTATTTTTTGCCCTGCCCACACCTGGCACTGGCCCCTGAAAGGTTGCCCATGAGGGAATGCAACCCTCAGCATGGCAACTTCCTAGGTTCTTGACTCGAGCTATGGAATGAAGCACTCCTTTAGCACAAGCACACCTTTAGCATGCCCCGTGGCATATGCAAAGTGCCTGTAGCTACAGGGCAGTTCATGAAACAAGGATTAGGCAATGAGAATAAGATGAGAGTGTCACTTTCACAACAGCCACTTGCTGCTCACCTGCAGTGTGGAATAATTGCCTTCCTGGCCACCAGGTAAGGGAAGTCTGATAAACAGGAAGAGAGAGACTGTTGTTGGATCATTCAGTTTCCTTTCAGGCTGTTGTCGGGTAACAAGCAACACCACAGCATTATGTGTGGGCTAAAGGATAGGCTCTTAAATGCTCGTAAGCCAAAAATAAGTAATAGGTTAGGTTTGTGGATTTATCCGCAAGCCTGAGATAGCAGAAGTCTCAGTAACTGTTTGTTCCCAGTCAGTGGTTTCACTTGCAACCTTCGTGCGGGCAACCTAGGAATGTGAAGAGATCTAAAAGTACCACAAACAGAAAGCAGGGGGGAGGCACCTACAAGCCTCTAATCAAACTCTGATAACTGCCACAGAGCCGTGAGAGAATAAGTTGGTTTCTTTAGACCTCACAGCTGCAGAGACAGACTCTGGGCCATTTGAGAGCTTCTGAAATGCTTCTGAAAAGTTTAATGGAAGGTAGGTTAAGATGGAAGAAACCTTATACCCTTATGCTATTTTAAGGCAGAGACTGGGTGGCCATTTGTTATGGATGCTTTAGCTGTGATTCCTGCATTGCAGGGGGTTGGACTAGATGACCCTTGGGCCCCTTCCAGCTCGGGGATTCTATGATTTTGTTTCTTTTGAATGGAGCTTTAAATCCATCCATGGCTACCAGGATAAGGTAGGACAGTAAAAACCTATTCTGCATCTCAGATTATTATTGCATTGTTTTGTTTAGAACAGAAACTCCAAGCAAAAATGATCATGATGAAAGTTCCTAAGAGATGCATTTTGCATACAGTTGCCTTGACTCAAATGTTTGTTGCCCTCTTTTAATATTTCCTTGTAACTCAGAGATAGAGCACTTTGCATGCAGGGGTCCCAAGTTCAATCCTTGGCATCTCCAGGCAGGGCTGGGAGAGAAACCCACTTGAAGTCCTGGAGAGCTGCTGCCTGTCAATGAAGACAATGCTAAGCTAGATGGACCAATGCTCTCACTCAGTATAAGGCAGCTTCCTAGGGGTCTTTCCCTTAAATTGCTACCTGATTTTTTGTTGTTGCCAGTTCCTTAAGAGGAGCAATTTTTGTCAAGGCTCCAGCCAGGGAGGAAAACCCCCTCTTCTCATTCATTCCATTTCCAGTGGGGAGAAGTAGAAGGCGGACTCTTATGTTCCAGATCAGGCATCCCCAAACTCGGCCCTCCAGCTGTTTTGGGACTACAACTCCCACCACCCCTAGCTAACAGGACCAGTGGTCAGGGATGATGGGAATTGTAGTCCCAAAACAGCTGGAGGGCCGAGTTTGGGGATGCCTGTTCCAATTGTCATCTTTCAAGTATACTTATGAGATGCACATAGGTTTTCCTGATCACTTTGACATGGAACTCTTCTTAAGACTGCAAAATAGCCCAGTTAATATTGCCTCCAAACCTCTGATCATACCCTTTGGATCGGTCAGTCAGGGATGGCACCATGTTCCCTAGCTAATAAAGACGTTTCTATGGTAATGCTGTGCCCATCCACAGTAGAGCAGCAGACTGCACTGTGGAATCCCAATACATCCTAAGGCCCGCCCTCAAGTTGATGTCACAGTTCATATGAGCAGGAGACAGGATCAATCCCTCATGGGGCCTCTGAGCTCAAAGAGGTAGTGGGGGACACAGCACCCAATTTGGGAGTCACTACCACACTTAGAGCAGCCAAGGTAACAGGGACTAATTTCCCAAATCTCCTTTCATTGCAACCTTTTCTGGGTGTTTTGTGCAACAGCCACAGCCTCCCAGCGAATGAGATTCATGCTCTCATATATACAACGAAGCAACAAGAGGGAGTAGCTCTGGCATCAGCACACTGCAGTAGTGGCTGCTTGCTCTCTCCTTCACTCTCACTTATCTCCTCTGCTACATATTCCAGACACTCCTCCTGCATGTTAAGGAGCTCTCGCAGTCTGGCAAAGGCTCTCATAAAAAGCAACATTCACTCAGTCTGCATATCCTCCAACAGCCCTGAACATCAACCGTTTGCTATGTGCGGGTGGCAAATATTGACTCCTAGTCTCCATGAACTCAACCGGAGAAACCTACACTCCAATCCCTACGCCTCTTTGATTCAGCGTACTATTTTCTTCCTAAACACACCAGATCTCCTCTCAATACTAGAAGCAACTGAATTAAGTCAACTGGGCCCGGTAAACAATGGCTTATCTTGGAACCCCCAACAGGAGGTAGCATGTTCTTAGATACCTCAGTCCATTTGGGGCCACAGTAAGAGCTAACAGGTCTGCTGTGATAGGATGATCAGGCTGTCCAGTTGTGCCCCTGCTCCTTTCAATACAAGGTAGTCAGAAAGTGCTGGACAATATTTCAGACCTAGGTATATTCACACCAAAAGCAAGTATCCAAGATGTATTTCCTCAATGAAGGCAGTGCCACAATTTTATTTTTAGTTGCTAGGAAAATACCAGTTTCTCTCCAGCTACCACATTCATTGAGATTCCTACCAGAAGAAGGAAAAGCACAGACAGTGCAGGCACCTTTTAATAAGTGGCAATATCTAATACTGTACAGTATAAGCCATGGGTAGGAAAACAAAGGCCCGGGGGCCGGATCTGGCCCAATTGCCTTCTAAATCCGGCCCACGGACAGTCTGGGAAGCAGTGTGTTTTTACATGAGTAGAATGTGTCCTTTTATTTAAAATGCATCTCTGGATCATTTGTGGGGCTTGCCTGGTGTTTTTACATGAGCAGAATGTGTCCTTTTATTTAAAATGCATCTCTGGGTTATTTGTGGGGCATAGGAATTCGTTCACCCCCCCCCCAAAAAAAATATAGTACACCCCCCCACAAGGTCTGAGGGACAGTGGACCGGCCCCCTGCTGAAAAAGTTTGCTGACCCCTGGTATAGGCTAATGCTGCAGGCATGAGCAGAAAGGGAAATCAGAGAGATACAAGTTGAGCAACACAAATTCCTCTACCATCCCATGTCCAACGCCTACACTGTCAGTAGATTTTGGATATATTGTGTAGACTCAGCGCTCCCTCGCAGTATAGCCCCAGTTTACAAGTTCGAATCCGAATCTATGTGTTTTTTTAATAAACAAAAACAGGGTGTTTTCACTGCTTTAAGTCTATCCTCCTCTCTCTCTCCCTACCCCCCCAGTCAGGGAGTGCCTCACCCGTTCTGTGAACCTCTTGCGATTTTTAATCTGCCTACTGGCATACTGTTTGAAGGCCACCCACTCCCATTGTTCCAGGGTAGTGAACAGGATGTGTCATTTTCACTTCCTCATTTCTGACAGCAAAAGTGAAATTGACAAGCCCATTTGAAAAAAACAAAAACAAATCAATTCTGCGGAACTCCTTTACAGCCAACCAGGATCCACCTTCAATCTCAGGCTTCAACACAGAGCCCACAGCTGTCCCTGGGTGAGCTTCCACCACCAACCTTCCGGTTAACAGCTGGTCACACTGACCCATTATGTCGTAGGAGGTGCTTCTATTTCATATCTTTATTCTTTTCTGCTTCTGCTTCCCCCCCTCAGGTGGTCTGAACCATCATATTGCTTGCTGGTGTACAAAAGTGGCCAAAAGCAGCTTCACTCCATAGTGGAGTGTGGCTATTTCTGCATCTAACACCTGCTTTTACCCTGAAAAAGCAGCTACCGTATTTTTCACTCCACAAGACGCACCAGACCATAAGACGCACCTAGTTTTTGGAGGAGGAAAACAAGAAAAAAAATATTCTGAATCTCAAAAGCCAGAACAACAAGAGGGATCGCTCCACAGCAATCCCTCTTGCTGTTCTGACTTCTGGGATAGCTGCACAGCCTGCATTCGCCCCATAAGACGCACACACATTTCCCCTTACATTTTAGGAGGGAAAAAGTGAGTCTTATAGAGCAAAAAATACGGTATTATAAGTTGGGAAATGAGACAGTGGCAGCACCACTGATACACTCCACCCAAGGTCCATTTGCAAACCACTTGTGAGTCACAGCTCACTGAATGAAGCTCAGTAGTTTAGGTTCTGCAGTTAAAGGACCCAATGCTCCTATCCTAGGAAGAGGGGGACGAGGCTCAACAGTACTGTTTCCCCCTTCACAGCAAGGCATCTTGTCCCTATAACTCACAAAGGTTAGACATGGCAGGCTACTCACTTGGTCACCTGTAGGAAAAACAAAACAAAAAACCAATCATCTCTCCACATGATCCAACAGGGAATCATTTGGGAAGCGGAAAAGACAGCATCTCCACTTCAGCATGCATTCAAGTTTTTAATGTGCCACAAATGACTATATATATCCATATGCATTGGCAAGCAGGCTGATAAACTAAACCAGGTGTGAGGAAGCTTTGGCCCTCCAGATGGCAACTCCCACCATCCCTAAACACTGGCAGTGCTCTCTAGGGCTGATGGGAGCTGAATTTCAGCAACATCTGGAGGTTGAAAGTTCCCCACACCTGATCTAAACAGCCATGGCTCCTCCTTCCCCCACCACATGGGCTTTTGAAACACCCCTTTGTCCTGAGGGTAGCAGAAAAAGAAGCTGAAAAACAGCTGCTTCAAAACTCCCCCCCCCCCATTTGCATGTATACAAATTTTTTATTGTCTCGTTTCGTTGTACAAACATTATTGTAAACTGCTTTGCAGGATCCATTTGACAGAAAGTATATAAATGCCTTATAGAAATATAATAAATTATCCGCGGGTTTATTTGTAAGGCTGGGTTATATTTTAATTGCTGGGTGGCTAGGAAAGGAAGGCTGCCCTATGGGAAATATCGCTATCGAGACATGCTTTTTACAGCGTCATGTGGGTAAGTGAACAGTGCCAACTGGCTGGGATGGGCCATGTGTTGGATGCTAGCCAGCTTACCACCTTTCCACAGTGACCCTGCTCTCACCAAAACAGGTATACCTACTCTCACACAAGAGATGCTGGAATGCAATACACGTCTCATTTGCAAGGTGTGCATTAATCATTCTCCAGGCTCGCCCACCCCAGAGTGTCATGGGTTACGTGGCTTCTTCCCCCCACCTTTACTTCAGTTCAGAGGATATCATGCTCTTCAGTTCCAAAAAAAATCATGCTGAAGGGAATGTTTCCTCCTCGATCAATTGTCTTCTTTCAGAATGGGGAGGAAGCAGGCCACAGAGTCAAAGCCATACAAAGCAAAACAAAACAGTTGCTGCTTCTGTGGCGCAGCAGAAAAAATGCTTTACAATCATTAACCTGCCTCACGGTCAACTGAGAGAAGGGTGATTATCCAAGACAACTGCCTAGTGTCTTTGGACATGATCATCTATGCTTTACAGCAGACCAGCCCCTGAGAGGGAAAATTGCTTTGGGGAAGCCCAGTTCCAGGCTGGCTCAGATAGAGTAAAGGGACACAGACTGCAACTTAAGGAGCTTACATAAGAAGTCAAAACATCCTACAATGGAGGGCACCCCCTCCAAAACAGTGCATGAAGACTTGGGGAAAGAGGTTGATTTTAAGAGGCCCCATGTAGCAAGTTCTAGCCTACTGCCACCACCCACCCAGTGGAGACTGGGATGAAGGTATCCCAGAGAAGGGGGATTTGGCAATCAAGATCCATTCCCCAAGCCACAACATCTGCATTCCTAAAGCCTGCCTTACTCCGCTACCCTCAGATAAAGCTCCTCTTGACTTCAAAACAAGAATACTCCCTGCACTGCAATTCCCACGCACTTGTGGCCCAGTTGCCCGTAGACTGGGTTTGCTGCCTAAAGCCTCCATCCCTCAGTTGTTTCAATATCTCAGAAGGGCTCTGGTACTGTTAGGAGGGGAAGTTCAGCAGCAACTTCTCACTACTGTTGCACTGAGACAATTTCCATTTTCCCTCCACCCCTCACTGGGAAGAACAGGGGAGGCCTCCCCTAAATCTCGCAATCCAAAATCTACACATCCTCCCCATTCCATGCCTTAGTACTCAGTCCCTAAACCAGTTTCCAGACTCAAGAGCGCTAAACAGAGGGAGGGAGAATAAAAAGTGTGAAAACCCAAGCTCATGAAAAGTGCCTTCTACGCAACCATACCCTGGGACATCCCAGGGAGAAACTGGATAGGAGGCTTCAACCAAGTAGGCTTGGCCCCATTTTATTCTGGACCACAGTGGAGTTTAGAGTAACAAGAGGTCCTCAGAATCCCTTTAATCACACATCCCTCCAAGCCAGGTGGTGGGACACACCCCAATCTAGGCAGGCTGGAGCCCTGGCACCTCTCTGAAGGCAACATACATCTGTAGCCAAAAGCGATATTCTTCAGCCTCGGGTCATCCTCAAACACAATTAGACTCCAACTCTCAAAAGCAAAAGAACCTCTGCCCATGGGAAAAGCTTCCTCCAGCCCATCTGAGGTTACATAAATAGGAAGCTCTTTGTGCTTTACTACCAAAGCAATTGCTTACCCACCTCTCTTCTGCCTAGAAACAACTTTCAACACAGCCCACAAAAGCAATACTATCCCTGCCCATGGACAGAGCACCCCTGGCCATCAGGGTTACATATGCATATAGCTTCCACCGACCGTTCTACCTTCACAGGGCTCCCCGTCAGGGCTCATCCCTTTGGGATGCAAACAGCACCCCTCCCCACCCCATGAAAGAAGTGCCCCCTTGCCCTGGCTGCTGGGGATTACAGAAATTTACAGCCACTGGTTGTCCAGCCTCACCCACCCAGCCTGCCAGCAAGACAGGACAGTTCCCAGAAAGGCAAGAGTGCTCCTGCCCATGGCAAAAATGCCTCAGAGAAACTGGCCCTCACCACTCCGGGAAGGGAGAAAAGCCAATTTCCCCAAAAGGCAACGGGGGTTATAACTCTTGGGTGCAAACCCCAGCCCATTGGGGGAGGGGTGTTACAGAAACTTAAGTCACCAGCTGTTCACCCTCACCCACACCAGGAGTGACAGAAGCCAGCTCCCAAACAGGGAAGAGCACCCTTGCCCACAGACAGAGCGCCTCTACACCACAAACATATAGCTACCACTTGCAGTTTCCCTTCCACAGGGTTTTCCTACCACAGCTCATCATTCTTGGCACAGAGAGTGCCTCCTGACCATGGCAAGAGTGCCCTGCTAAGTGTGTGCGTGTGAGTGTGTGAGAGAGACAGAAACTTCCACCTACCACCCTCCCCAAGAAGATGAGATGCCAACTTGAATAAAATACAGTGGTACCTCGGGTTAAGAACTTAATTCGTTCTGGAGGTCCGTTCTTAACCTGAAACTGTTTTTAACCTGAGGTACCACTTTAGCTAATGGGGCCTCCCGCTGCCTCCGTGTGATTTCTGTTCTCATCCTGAAGCAAAGTTCTTAACCCGAGGTACTATTTCTGGGTTAGCGGAGTCTGTACCTGAAGCGTCTGTAACCCGAGGTACCACTGTAATGGGAGAGGCAAGTAAGCCCCACCCCGTATAATCGATCGCATGGTGCTTAGCACGCGCACACCATTCGTAAGGCAATGTCCATCAACTTTGGGGGTGGGGGCGGCCCCCTCAAATATTTTATTGGGGGAGGCGGCGGCGGCGAAGGAACCTATGCCAATAGCAGAGACAGGCCAATCTCCGGGGAATGGCAACAGTGCCCCTGCGCATGGCGAGAGCGCCTCTGCCGCACTTGAGCCGACTACAACGAGGTGGGAACCGAATACCACTTTCCTCCTGATTCTGGCGGCCACTCCCGGGCTCGAGGCGAGCCCATCCCCACCCACTCCCGAAAGGGGCAAGAGTGCCCCTGCCCATGGCAAGAGTGCCCAGCGCGCACCCCCTCCCCCGCCGCCACTCACGGCGCCTCCTGCTCTGGTCCGTCTCCGCCGTCGGCGACGAGGAAGCCGAACTTGTCGACGCGGCGCTCGCCGTCGGAGCTGCTGCCGCCGCCGCCCAAGGAGCTCCGCGAGTCCATCTCGCTGGCCGCTGCCGCCGACGCCGCCTCGTCTTCGGCAGCGTCGTCGTCCTCCTCCGCCTCGGCCAGGGGTCCGCGGGGCGCAGAGCCCATGCCGCCGGCCTGGGCGGCGGAGGCAGCCTCCCCGTCGTCACCGCCGCCGCTTCCTCCCGCTCGGCTCTTGGCCATACGCGGCCGCCTCAGCGGGAAGGAAGGGGCGCCGCCATCGGACGAAACCCACAGACGATCCAGCCGGGCCGCCTCTCCCTCAGCCGATCCGGCCACGCCCATTGGCTGAGCCATCGCTCCCGAGCCCGCCCCTACGCAGCCGGCATTGGCTCTCGGGCGCGGGCGAGGGCCGGCGGCCTCGCAGGCCTCTTGAATGGAAAATGGGCGGGAAAGGGAGAGCGAGCCGGCAAAGCTCTTGGCCGTCCGAGCTGCCAATCAATTAAACGCTTAAAAGAACCCCCTCTCCTCCTGCTTCTCACCCGCCAATCCAGTTGACCAGGAGGAGCGCGGTGTTTCCTCCTCCGCACCCGCCTCCCCTCCTCCACACTCCTCTTCCATTCACTTTCCACGTAGGACAAAACTTGGAGAAACGCGGAAGGGGCGGGCGGTGCAGGAGAGGAAGGAGGTGTTTTCCAGTGTTACGGTCCTGTGGAATATATGCAGCTCAAACGTATTCAACAGAGTGGATTCAATTTAAGGATTACTTAGTTAAATATGTTAAGTTAAATTAACTGAAAATTGCCTGCAGGTACTTAATTGGCTTAGGATTTTATTTATGTTAAGTGATGAATTAATATGTTTAATTTCATAATGTGAAGATCTAAGGATGTTAATGTTTAAGTTAAATTTTATAAGAACTGTGATTTGGAAAACTGTTAAAAGGATATGCAGTGAAATTCAACCAAGGCGAAGCGAGGAAGTCACTTAACAATGTTAATAAGTGTAATTTTCAATAAGGCTATGATTTATGTTTGTTTGCTTTATGTGTTTGTTTGTTTGTTTATAATGTGAAAACCAATAATTAAAAAACAAACAAACACAAACGTATTCAACAGCAGGCTGCAATCCTATATCCACTTTTTTGGAGGGGGGAGAGTAAGCCCCATTGAATTCAGTGGAACTGATTTCAGGGTAGGCATTCATGGGATTACTTTGTCCTGCTTCGGACAGGCGGTTATGTAGAGGAGATGCAAGTCCTGTTGGGTTCTGTAATACAGCAGCGTTTATAAACCATCAAAAACATACAGTATACTACTGTATAATCTTGAATGGTAAAACAAGCCTACTCAGCTATGTAGAATGCTGGTGTGTCTTTTAATGTGTCCCCCTCCAAAAAATATTTCAATGTTTTCACTTTTTTATTCAAGGATCACCAATAAGCATTCAACCATCTCCCCCCACACCACCAACCGAAACACCAAACATCTATTTGATTACAATAAACTTTCACATCATTTCAGTTTTTAAACAAAAGTATCATATGTTTTATTTCACTTTTAATTTTTCTGAATGTTTTACAAAGTTGCTTTTAACTGTTTTTACCGATAATTTTATTGTTTTATTCTCTTTGAGGGTTGTTGTTTTTTTACAAACGGTTTATAAATTTAATGAAATAAATTAATTAATTAAAAATAAAAGTGTGTACATTTCCTATCACCTGGGAGCATAGAATACTACCACTTCTCCTTTAACATAAAAAAACCTTATGGATGAGTTCAAATCTTACTGCTCATGCCATGTCATAGAAAGTTTGGAGGACAGTCAAGAAGCTAGACAATAACTTTCTGGTCTGTTTCAGGCAAAAGCAGAACAGATACAGGGAACTCCAGACAACAGCTAAATTAAAGTAAGTCCAGTGCCATCTAGTGGCTAAATCGTATACCAACTCTCTCTCTCTCTCTCTCTCTCTCTATATATGTATGTATATGTACACAGCTAGGTCGCAGAAATGTTTGGCTGCCACCCCCACTTTCAGTAGGAAAGCTTAAAAGTAAAGGGACCCCTGACCATTAGGTCCAGTCATGACCGACTCTGGGGTTGCGGCGCTCATCTCGCTTTATTGGCCAAGGTAGCCAGCGTAGAGCTTCCGGGTCATGTGGCCAGCATGACTAAGCCGCTTCTGGCGAACCAGAGCAGCGCATGGAAACACTGTTTCTACTTGCACTTTGACGTGCTTTCAACCTGCTAGGTTGGCAGGAGCAGGGACCGAGCAATGGGAGCTCACCCCGTCGCAGGGATTCGAACCGCCGACCTTCTGATCGGCAAGTCCTAGGCTCTGTGGTTTGACCACCCACGTCCAAGGAAAGCTTAGGCCATAATAAAATTGGTAATTTCTAAGGTGCTGCAAAACTCTTTGTTGTTTATGTACAAATGCACCACACCAGTTGGCACTGCCACCACCCCCTAACTGGCATGGGGAAACCTCCTACAAAGGGCACATTAAAACAATCTGGAGCTTGGGGGGAAAGGGCCATAGCTGAGTCAGAGACCATCTACCTTGCATTATGCAGAAGGTCCCGGGTTTAACGTAAGACTTGGAGAAGCCCCTTCCTGGGACCCTGGACAGCTACTGCTGGTCATTGCAGACAGGACTGAACTAGATGGGCAAGTGGGTCTGACTCAGGGTGAGACGCCTTCCTATGTTCCCAGCCCAAACAAATGTCATTGCAATTTTCCTTTATATTCAACTTAGCTGGCGACATAAGAACATAAGAAGACCCTGTTGGATGAGGCTGGTGTCCCATTGGCTTCAGCATCTTCTTCTAACTGTGGTCAGCTAGATGCCTTAGCCCAGTATACCTGAAGGAGTGTCTCCACCCCCATCGTTCACCCACATCATTCAGCCCAGACACTGAGGTCCAGCTCCAAGGGCCTTCTGGTGGTTCCCTCTGTACGAGAAGTGAGGTTGCAGGGAACCAGGCAGAGGGCCTTCTTGGTAGTGGCACCCGCCCTGTGGAACGCCCTCCCATCAGATGTCAAGGAAATAAACAACTATCTGACTTTTACAAGACATCATCAGGCAGCGCTATTTAGGGAAGTTTTTAATGTTTGTTGTTTTATCGTGTTTTTAATAGTCTGCTGGGAGCCACCCAGAGTGGCTGGGGAAACCCAGCCAGATGGGCAGGGTATAAATAACATCATATTATTATGTGGGTTGCCCACAGGCATCTGTGAGAAGTGAGGTTATAGGGAACCAGCCAGAGGGCCTTCTTGGTGGTGGGGCCACCCTGTGGAACGCCCTCCCATCAGATGTCAAGGAAGTAAACAACTATCTGACTTTTACAAGACATCTGAAGGCAGCCCTCTTTAGGGAAGTTTTTAATGTCTTAATATTTTTATTATGTTTTTATATATGTTGGAAGCCACCCAGAGTGGCTGGGGAAACCCAGTCAGATGGGTGGAATATAAATACAGCAGCTGGAGGAGGAGCAGCAGCAGCAGCAGCAGCAACAACAGCAACAACAACAACAACAAGCCACTATGAGAATAGGATGCTAAACTAGATGGGACACTGGCCTCATCCAGCAGGCTCTTTCTTCCTGGATTTCTTATTAACTGGAAATACTTAGGACTTGCATATATTTTATCAGGGAGAGAGGATATTGAAAGGTGAGGCACAACGTGAATGCAGCTTACAGCGGGATAGTTTTGTCAGTCCTTTGCAGCATCCAAACGTAAGAGTCCGCCGGATCAGGCCAATGGCCCATCTAGTTCATCCTCCTGTTCTCACACTGGCCAGTCAGATGCTTCTGGGAAACCTGCAAGAGGCACATGAGCGCAGGAGCACGCTCTCCCCCTGTGGATTCCTGCAAGAAGCATTCCGAGGCACGTGAAGGAGAACATGGTCATTGTGGCTATGAATTTGACCAATCTCTTTTTGGAATGAGCACCCAAGTTTTCTTCTTGCTTTCAGGCAGGGCTCTTGCGACTTTCCCAACTGCACCACAGCCAGAAGTTCAGCACGTTGAGCTTTTTCCTGCAAGTGCTCTCCCCAGCCTTCTGGCACAGGGATGGTGGCTGTAGAATAGATCAGTCCATTTTTTGAAAGAAATACAGTATTGATGGCTGCTGCCACCTTCTGGTGGCAGGCTAGCATTGGGTTGTGGGAGAGAAAGGAAGCAGGGCTCATTCCATCAGCTGAATTGTTTCCAGCTGCTCCTTATAAGAGTAAAATATACTCGGAGTCAGGAGTGGATTTCATGCTCTTTATTCAGCTCATAGTGGTGAGGAGGAATGGAAGTTCCCCCACAATATCTGCTTTATATACATTATTTACACAATGGGCTGCACGTGATTGGCTAATTCCGGGATTCTCCTGTAGGCCAATCAGGTTGTGGATTCACTTCCACCTGGAGCTGGATTGGGTGGCTCCTGTGGACCAATCATACTGCTGCATTGTTCTAGGACCAATCAGACTGCTGCATTCTGAATCCTATTGTTCTGGGACCAATCAGACTGCTGCATTTTGGATCCTATTTAACTCAGTACATAACAAAGAGCTACTATTTAACTTTAAGAATGGGCACCTGACTTGTTTTCCCCCCTCTTCCCTCCATGCCCTTTTCCTTTTGTGCTATGGCTTTTAGAACGCAAGCCTGAAGGCAGAGACTGTCTTGTTTTTAACTGATTGTATGTGAGTTGCTCTGGGAGCCTTTTATGGATGAAGAGTGGGGTACAAATGCCCTAAATCAGAAATGGGGAACCCCAGGTGCAGGGACCAAATACGACCCCCGCCCAGTGTCTCTGTCTGCCCCATGGGCTTCTTGCCAGCCAACCGCCTTTCGTCAACCCTGCTCACACAATCATTTAGTGTTTTTCTCCTGGCTAATATGTATCCAACTCTGAAGACGTCTTTGCTTGCCTCAAGTACAGTGGTACCTTGGTTCTCAAACTTAATCCATTCTGGAAGTCCGTTCGACTCCCAAAACCGTTTGAAAACCAAGGCACAGTTTCTGACTGGCTGCAGGAGCTTCCTGCACTCAAGCAGAAGCTGCGTCGGATGTTCGGCTTCCGAAAAACTTTCACAAACCGGAACACGTACTTTCAGGTTTGCGGCGTTTAGGAGCCGATTTGTTCAGCAACTAAGCCGTACAGGAACCAAGGTACCAATGTATATACAGGGGTGTATAGAAACTAACTTACTGTACAAAAGTAGCATTTGCATATGTTGCTCCACCCACTTTTTTCTCTGGCCTCCCACCACTGGAATGCGGCCCCTGGAAAGTTTCCCAGAAGGGGCTGGGGCCCTCAGAGAGCCAGTGTGGTGTAATGGTTAAGAGTGGTGGACTCGTAATCTGGTGAACTGGGTTCGCTTCCCTGCTCCTCCACATGCAGCTGCTGGGTGACCTTGGGCTAGTCACACTTCTCTGAAGTCTCTCAGCCTCACTCACGTCACAGAGTGTTTGTTGTGGGAGAGGAAGGGAAAGGAGAATGTTAGCCGCTTTGAGACTCCTTAGGGTAGTAATAAAGCGGAATATCAAATCCAAACTCTTCTTCTTCTTCTCCTGCTCAGGGTGAACAGGGTACCCCACCCCTGCTACAACCTAACCACCTGGAGACTTACGATGCTTCTATAATATCTGGATTTATTTACAGATATGCAAGTTGAGTATCAGACACCTTAAGATGACAGCATGGTCTTGTACATGAGATCACCACCAAGAAGCACCCCGGCCACTCCAGGTGCTTCTTATTCACCAGAGCTCAATGCTTCCCCCCTGCCAGCTCTGTCTGCAAAACTGCAGCTTCTAGCTGGGCTGGCCCTCCCATTGGCAAAGGGAAACAGCTGTCTCAGACGGCAGATTCAGCAGGGTGAGCAGTGACAGCAAGATATTGGAGGGAGAGTGTGGACCACATAGCCTGCTCTGTACTTCCCTAACGCTCTCGGGTTAAGTGAAAGGTGCTGTGCACCACCACTGCTGAAGTAAGATTCACCGCATGGTTTAGTCAGCTTGAGCAAAGTTCTGCAGCAAAACAGGCCTGGGTTGTACACAGGGCCGGCCCTACAATGAGGCAGAGTGAAGCAGCTGCCTCAGGCGGCAGATGCTGAGGTGCGGGGATGACTGCTATCAAGTGCAGCGGAAGATACTGTCACCAGTATGGAAGTTAAGATTCGACTATCAGCCCGGCCGGCTTCCACATCTCCTTTGCAGGAGGAAGACATCTTGCCCTTCGCCTCAGGCAGCAAAATGTATTGAGCCGGCCCTGGTTCTATTGGTCCTTTCTCAACCACAGATCCTGTTTATCTCATCCTTAGTTGAGAGGGGCAGGGGAACATGTGGCATTGCAGGGAGCTGTGATTCCTGGATTGCAAAGGGTTGGAGTAGATGACCGTTTGGACCCCTTCCAACTGTACAATGTTTCTATGATTCCTCCAAATGGTTATCACCTGCCAGCAATTTACTAACCATTCCTGCGAGCCTTTAACCTTTCATTTCCCTAGCAAGAGATGGCGCCTGGTAACTAGAGAAGGGAGATAAATTCAGCTCAGTTTGCCAGAGTCTTTTGAAATTCGCTTTGCTCAAAATTGTGCACTGCACACAACACTTTCAGAAGTGCATCTTAGGGGAAAATGTGCATTGGTGAAAGATTTAACCTGGGACTCTCTGCATGCAAGAGAGATGCTCAGCCACTGAGCTATGGACCTTCCTAGGTGATGAAGGGCAGGTAAGACATGCAAAACACTACTAAATCTTAGGTTACATAAATACAATCCTGGTAACAACACACCCAATGTAACAGGCTGTTTTTGACTATGTAACTTCCATTTCAAACACAACTCAACATATAATATCTCACAAAGTGTAATTCCATAGACCAACACATCATGCAAACAGAACATATGATGAGAAATTTTGTTCCATAATAATAATAATAATAATAATTTATTTGGCGGCTTCAAAAAAAAAAATTAAAATACTGTAATACATCAAACATTAAAAGCTTCCCTAAACAGGGCTGCCTTCAGATGTCTTCTAAAAGTCTGGTAGTTGTTGTTGTCTTTGACATCTGGTGGGAGGGCGTTCCATAGGATGGGTGCCACTACCAAGAAGGCCCTCTGCCTGGTTCCCTGTAACTTGGCTTCTCGCAGTGAGGGAACCGCCAGAAGGCCCTCGGTGCTGGACCTCAGTGTCCGGGTAGAAAGATAGGGGTGGAGACGCTCCTTCAGATATACTGGACCGAGGCCGTTTAGGGCTTTAAAGGTCAGCACCAACACTTTGAATTGTGCAGTGTTTCCGTCATACAAGAATATGGTATGTAAACTTGTTGTTTAACTGGTATGTTATGTTACTTAGTTTGTATAAGGATTATGTTATATTGTGTTTATTTAATTTAGGGTATGCACAGCTGATGAAGCCTGATTGGGTGAAACAAGGTATTATCCTGGAATCCTTGTCGTGCCATACCTTCAAGTTTTCCATCTGATCCGATATCTACATACAAGGAATGTTAGAATCGTCAAAGCAGCGATACCATAAGATAAGCATAGAATATTGTGGTTATTGCCGATATTGCCAATTTAGGAACCGAATGGACTTTATCTCCTGACCATCCATCGGACTTTAATTTATCTTGATATGTTCTGTTTGCATGATGTGCTGGTCTATGGAATTACACTTTGTGAGATATTATATGTTGAATTGTGTTTGAAATAGAAGTTACACAGTCAAAAACAGCCTGTTACGTTGTGTGTGGGCAGGTAAGACAGTCAGCGGAGGAGGATAACCTAGGAGTGCAAAGTCCCCCTGCAACTTAACAGAAGGAAGGACGTGGGTAAACTGCCCTGTTTTTCCCATCCCAAGGTAGAGCGGTACATTTTCTCCCTCGCTCCCATCAGTAAGTGGAGACAAATTGATGCTGTTTAAAAATTGATCAATTTCCTGCTAAATGGCTGCATCGCATCATTGGCTTTGAAAAGTGCTTTATCAGGCACATGCGTGAGATCCCTCTGTCTCTCCCTCTCCTCTCTGAAACCCCTTGATAACAAGAATGTCATTTCTAGCAGGTCTGGTGTCACCATGCATTATCTTTTAAGAGCTTGACACCCCAGGCAGACTTACTGGAAAGCGATGCCTGCTCTGTCCTAGGTTTGGGCTTACCTAGGGTAGGCAAAGTGGTAGAGCAACTGCTTCACATCCAGGTTCAACCCCTGGCATCCCCAGGTAGGGTCTGGAGAGATGCTGCCAGTCGGTGTTGGCAATACTAAGCAAGATGGGCCAATAGCCTATCTCAGTATAGAATTCAGTATTAGGAATGGTGTGGATCAATGGGTTGAGCATCTGCTTTGCATGCAAAAGGTCTCAGGTTCAACCCCCAGCTTCTCCAGGTAGTGTTGGGAGAGATCCCTTGGCTGAAACCTGGGACAGCTGCTGCCAGTCACGGTTGGCAGTACTGGGCTAAATGGACCAGTGGTCTGATTTAGTAATAAAGCACCTTCCTATGTCCTTATATGCAACTAACTGGCTGTCACAGAGTGAGTTGGTCAGTAAATCACACAGATCAGAGTTGGAGTTAACTCTTTAGTAGCAAAAACACGATCTTCACAGACTTGGCTGAGTGTCAGGCCTAATGAGCACAGCAGCTCGTTCTCAGTAGGTCTTACTCCATGAAATAATTGCCAAGACCTCCCCATAGCCGCCTGTATCTCTTCCTCCCCAGGGTTCTCCCCCCCCCAGCAATCAGAGACTGTGCCTTCCGGAGACTGTGCTCTTCCCATTTCGCACCTCTTCTGGTTCTGGGGTTGGTGGGGGGAGGGAGCTTGTCACAGCAGGAAGGGGAGGCACCCATGACTCTTCACCAGCCTGACTCATCTCTGCCTCTTGGCCTCCCTCCTCCCATTAGCCTGCGTCAGCTTCTGCCTCTGATTCTGGACTGCTCTCTGCCACAGACTCTCCCTTTTCACTGAGCCCTGTTACCCCTTCGGCTTCCGACACCTCCTCTTCCCATCTTCTCCCTCTGACCACTCATCGTTGTCCCACCACCACCACTCTCCGGGCTCTGAGCCTTCTTCCCTTGGGGGTTTCCCAACTAGTTCCTCCCGCCATTTCTCTGCGTCCAACCAGCAGCGATGATGACCACTATTGTAACTTGACTGCAACTGACTGGTGAGATTTCATTCCATTTCCTATGTTTTTGCATAGCTGCCCATCCAAATCCTTCAGCACTGGGTGGCCTACCTATCTAAATGAATTAAAATAAATAAATAAATAAATAAATAAATGGTCAGCTCTTACACCAGCTATTTCTTTGGTGATCACTCATAGCTGAGCAAGATTGTCTTCCATAAACACGGTTTTAACAATGAGTCTGTAAGTGACTGTGAAGGCCAATTCTGGACCCACATGTCCTTCCACAGTGGGGACATAGGTTTCCGGATGGGAGTTGATCGCAGTGTGGATTTGCCAAGTGAGCCTTCCTCTTAGCACGTTTCTCCCTTGCGTCCTGAGTTCAAGTGTCTTCAAAACCCATGACACCTTTGGTAAAGACTGTTCTCCAATTGGAGCGCTCACAGGCAAGTGTTTTCCAGTTGTTGGTGTTTATGTCACTTTTTTTTTAGATTTGCCTTGAAACGGTGTTTAAACCTCTTTTGTTGACCACCAGCATTACACTTTCCATTTTTAAGTTTGGAATAGAGTAGTTGCTTTGGAAGACAATCATCAGGCGTCCACACAACTTGACCAGTAGATCTCCCCACTCCACCCCCCACCCCCCAGTTTGTGAAGGGTCCTGAAGAGCAGTGGGATAACCGTTATTAACAGACCAGAGGCCACTGGAGAAAGCGGGGATTCGAACCACTGACCTTCCGATCAGCAAGCCCTAGGCTCTGTGGTTTAGACCACAGCACCACCCACGTCCCTATATAATAGATTACATCAAAAGATGCAGGAACAAAATAGAGAAATGGAACCCATGGAGGGAAGGAAGGATGTCTGAAGGTTCGAAAGAACCACTTTTTTATTTTTGGAAATGTTATGTTTGTTGTGTATACCTTTTGTGTAAAACCAATAATAATAATAATAATAATAATAATAAAACAGTCATGGTTTCCCCCAAAGATTTATGGGAGCTGTGGTTTGTTAGGAGTGCTGAGAGTTCTTAGGAAACCCCTGTATTCCCCCTCCAAGAGCTCCCTGTCTATCTTGATTGTTAAACTACTCTGGGAATCATAGCTCTGGGAGGGGGGATCTAGGGCTCTCCTAAGAACTCTCAGCACCCTCAACAAACTACAACCCCCAGGATCCTTTGGGAGAAGCCACGCCTGCTTAAAGTAGTATCACGGTGGATGGTGTGAATGTGGCCGTAGAGAAGTCCCCAACCTTCAATAATGCTAGTGCAAAGCTATTATACTTTCAGCAGAAACCTCTGAGATCAAATCAACCTGTCTTGGAGAGTGCCAAGGAGAAGGTGGAGGAGCTGCTTCAGGATTAATGGGCAAATTGGCAAGGAAATGAGCACGATGGATCTGTGCCTTTTCTTGGAGATCAAGAAACGTCTGTCGGATCAGCATTTCTGTTTTGTTTCACAGCAAGAGGAAAGTGTGGCAAGAGGCAGCGGCGTCATCGTGATGACAGTGTTGGGTGAGGGATTGGGTGGAGTCCAAGCCAGGGTTCAGATCCTCCACTCAGTCGTGGTGCTTACGTGGTGTTCATCAGTATGCGGATGATACCCAGCTCTACCTCTCTTTTAAATCAGAACCAGTGAAGGTGGTGAAGGTCCTGTGTGAATTTCTGGAGGTGGTTGGAGGATGGATGGCGGCTAACAGATTGAGGTTGAATTCTGACAAGACAGAAGTACTGTTTTTGGGGGACAGGGGGTGGGTGGGGGTGGAGGATTCCCTGGTCCTGAATGGGGCAACTGTGCCCCTGAAGGACCAGATGCGCAGCCTGGCATGCATTTTGGGCTCACAGCTGTCCATGGAGGCACAGGTCAATTCTGTGTCCAGGGCAGCTGTCTACCAGCTCCATCTGTTATGCAGGCTGAGAGCCTACCTGCCCACAGACTGTCTCGCCAGAGTGGTGCATGCTCTAGTTATCTCCCACTTTGACTACTGCAATGCACTCTATGTGGGGCTACCTTTGAAGGTGACCCGGAAACTGCAACTAATCCAGAATGCAGCAGCTAGACTGGTAACTGGGAGTGGTCGCCAAGACCACATAACACCAGTCCTGAAAGACCTACATTGGTTCCCAGTACGTTTCCAAGCACAATTCAAAGTGTTGGTGCTGATCTTTAGAGCCCTAAATGGCCTCGGTCCAGTATATCTGAAGGAGTGTCTCCACCCCCATCATTCTGCCCAGACACTGAGGTCCAGCTCCAAGGGCATTCTGGTGGTTCCCTCACTGCGAGAAATGAGGTTACAGGGAACCAGGCAGAGGGCCTTCTCGGTAGTGGTGCCCTCCCTGTGGAACACCCTCCCACCAGATGTCAAGGAAATAAAAAACTATCTGACTTTTAGAAAACATCTGAAGGCAGCATTGTTTAGGGAAGTTTTTAATGTTTGATGTTTTATTGTGCTTTTAATTCTGTTGGGAGTCGCCCAGAGTGGCGGGGTATCAATATTATTATTATTATTATTATTATTATTATTATTATTATTATGTGACCCTGGGCCAGACATAAGACCATAAGAAGAGCCTGCTGGGCAGGCCAATGGCCTATCTAATCCAGAATCCTAGCCACCAAGATGCCCCAAGGTGGTCACAAGCTCAAAAGGGGTCTCCTCTCCTGTGGTCTCCAGCAGCTGGTATTCCGAAGATTGCTGCCTCCTATAGAGCACAGCCTTACCACAGTGCAAGTGGCTTCCCTCCAGCAGGCCAGAAGGCCACCATCCAATCCACACACCATTAGCCTCTGCGCTTTCTCCCTCGTAATCATGTCCCTCCCTGGTTTATCAGGAAAGGAGAGCAATCTGCTGGAGAGAGTGTGCGTCATTTTGGAGTAAAGAAAGACCAGTGTACTGTGCAGTTTTCCGGTGCCCCACTGACACATAGAATCATAGATTTGGAAGGGACCCCGGCGGTCATCTAGTCCAAGTCCCTCCACATAGCCATCCCTGAGTGGGCTCGAACCACCAACCTTCTGGTTCACAGCCAGACACACTGACCTATTATGCCAAGAGATGTGGATGTAAAACAGGGGTCAACAACCTTTTCCAGCTGTGGGCCGGTCCACCCTCAGACCTTGTGGGGTGCCGGACTATATTTTGAAAAAAAGAAAATGAACGAATTCCTATGCCCCACAAATAACCCAGAGATGCATTTTAAATAACAGGACACATTCTACTCTTGTAAAAACACGCTGATTCCTGGACTGTCCGTGGGCCGGGTTGAGAAGGCGATTGGTCTGGATCCGGCCCCCGGGCCTTAGTTTGCTTACCCCTGCTGTAAAACATCGCTTGATTGTCACGTCTCACACGGGAAGCTGCCCTATACGAAGTTAGACCACTAGGTCTATCTAACTCAGTTCTGTCTACACTGGCTGGTAGTGGCTCTCTGGGGTTTCAGGCTGAAAACTTTGGCAGCCCTACCTGGAGATTGCACCCAGGACTTTGGAAGTGTTGAGATGTAACTCAGCTTGCACCGAAGGCTGATGTGTCTGCATGGGAAAGAGCAGACAGAGAGGGGAAACTTCCACATTCCCCTCTTCCTGTTGCTCTGAAGCAACTGATTTCAGTGGTATACTGCCATTGGCTCTGGAGGCTCAGGTCACATCCACGCAACACATTTAGAACACATGGCTTCCTCCCCGGAAATCCCGGAAACGGTTGTGTGGTTAAGGGTGCTGGGAATTCTAGCTCAGTGAGAGGTAAGCTAGAGTTCCCAGGATTGGGAAGCCGGCCATGTTGAATTTGCTTTAAATACATGGTGCAGATGTGACCGTAGGAGGCAACTCCTTGGGGCTGAGGGCTCTTTTCCGCCCCTCCAATAAAATATTTGAGGGGGGCGCCCCACAAGTTAATGGTCATTACCATTATGGTCATTCAAATGGTGGGGGTGGGTGGGTGGGTGTACCATATCGTGTGATCAGTGGGGCTTACCTCCAGCCCCCCAAAAAAATATTTTATTGAAGTTGGCACCCCTGGATGTGACCTCAATCATCTCCTTGCCATACTGCCTGGAAAGACCGTCTAGCCATCCTGGCTCAGAGCCATTTCCCCAGCCCTCTCCGCCTCCTCCTCCCATCTCCCCACAATACCTGATTGGGTCGAAGAGCTCCGTGTAACTCCAAAGTGGGCGTCCCTTCCCTCCAATCAGACGGCGCTCTGAGTGCCTTGGTGCTGCTGCTACTGCCGCTACTGCCGCCGCCGCTGGCCATACCAAAGGCGCTTTCAGTCCTTGCTGAGCCCGTCGGGAGCGATCTCTTCTTCCCCAAGCCGCCAACCTCTTCGGCTTGGCCGGGGAGCGAAACCTGAGAGTTTGCCCGGGATCGAGGTGGGCTTGGCTCGGTCTGTCTTTTGGCTGCCGTCCCTGAACGGAGACAGGAGCGAGGAGGAGAAGGAGAAGGAGGAGAGGGGCTGAGCGAGGTCAAGCGGCTCTCTCTGCGGCCGACGGAGCAGCTCTTTCCGCCGCAGGGGCAGCAGCAGCAGCAGCAGCAGGCGTGCGCTCCTCCTCGGCTCGCGTCCGCCCCGTCGAACTTCGTTTCTCCCGTCTTTTTCTTCTCCTTCTTCCCGCGCCGGCTTCATGGAGGGCTCCTCTTCGCCGCCGCCCGCCTACTCGGACCTCAGGCGGGGCCTGGGGAAGAGCAACAGCGGCGCCGACCTGCAGATGAACGGCGACGAGGAGGCGCCGGGCCCCGAGGAAGAGGAGATCCACGCGCCCAAAAACTACCTGTGGCTCAGCATCCTTTCCTGCTTCTGCCCGTCCTACCCCATCAACATCGTGGCCTTCGTCTTCTCAGTGATGGTAAGCCTTGTGTGGTGTTTTTTGGGGTGGGTTTAAGGGGGCGCCGTCGGGGCTGGAGCGTCCCTATCTCCACGATTGCGCCCCTCCCCAGTCCGTCGCCTCCTACTGGACAGCTCCTACTTGGAAAGGGGAAGGACAAAATAATAATAATAATAATAATAATAATAATAATAATAATAATAATTTATTTATACCCCACCCATCTGGCTGGGCTTCCCCAGCCACTCTGGGCGACTTCCCCCAAAAAAATTAAAATACTGTAACACATCAAACATTAGGGTTTAAAAGGGTTGTAGTCAGCTGGACCCTACTCAGAGTAGACCTTTTGATTTCTTTCCAAGCCCTACTCAAGGGAATATTGGTTGGACTCAATGGGCATGAGGTAGCCATGCCCGTTGGCTTCAGGGGGTTTACTCTTGAGTAGAACCAGCATTGGAGAGATTCACTGACATTAAAAGGACACCAGTTAGCCATGTTCCTTACTTTTAGTGGGTCTAATGACAGCCCCAGCTGACCCGTGATTCCCCTGGACTATAGAGGGAGGGGACACAACACCCCCTATGAAATTTATTTTTCAGAACCTCTCCTTTCCAGCTTCAGTCTCCACTGCATCTTTAGATACTGACCCGCTGCAGGTGTAACTCAAAAGTCCCATGGAGTTCAAACAGGGGCTTGCATCTAACGAAGCATGGATGTAATGGCAGCCCCGACCTATTAATGGTTGGCCCAGAAGCAAGCTTCCTGGGTGATATTTAGCTGGGCTTAACTTTCCAGGAAGTGCAATAGATGGTTTCAAGATGCAATGTTAGGAAGGGAGCCTCCAGATGTCATTCCATTGTCAGTCCACACTTCCCCAAGCATTTCTGCACTACTTTCCTTCCTGAAAAAGCCCCCCTTTTTTTAAAAAAGGTGAATTTACTGCCCGAGAACACTTTAACCCACTTCTAATTGCTCAAGCCTAAATTTGCAGCTATGCAACTGAATCTTTCTCCCAAAAGAACCACAGGCTGTGTGTACATATTGCTGGCTTAAAATCCAGCTAGGTTGTTCTTTTTTCCCCAGTTGGGATCAAAGCCAGGGTGGGTGTGGGGTTTTTTTGGGGGGAGGGGATTGCAGCATTTTGTAAAAAATAATAATACAGAATCATAGAATTCTAGAGCTGGAACCTGCTCAAAGGGGTTGTCTAGTCGCTTCTCCCTGCAATGGGGGAATCACAGTTGAGGGTAGATTTTACCATTATTTATTATTGCATTTCTCTCTCTCCCCCACCTTCGTCCCAAAGGGGTTCAGAGCAGCAAAAGGCAGGATAGATGTGGATTGAACCCAGGGGTGAGAGTGCAGTGGGTGCAGAGTAAAAGGGAAATGTGTGTTTACACAGCCCCAATCTGGAGGGGACCTGCGTTTACTCCGGATCCTAAGCACTGCTGAGTTCAGTGGGGCTCACTGTGCTGTTGGTGCAAGCCTATGTTAAGGTTGTAACCTTTTGTCTCAAGATTTTGTTATCAATACAGTGGTACCTCGGGTTAAGTACTTAATTCGTTCCGGAGGTCCATACTTAACCTGAAACTGTTCTTAACCTGAAGTACCACTTTAGCTAATGGGGCCTCTTGCTGCTGCCGGTTCTCATCCTGAAGCAAAGTTCTTAACCCGAGGTACTATTTCTGGGTTAGCGGAGTCTGTAACCTGAAGTGTATGTAACTCGAGGTACCACCGTACTGGATGGAAGTTGTGGTTTCTGTAGTGCAAAGATTCCGCTTTTCAGTTACTTGCCTTGATTACAGTATCTGACTGTCTTGTTTCTGGAACTTGTTCTCCTTCTGGTGCCCAGTCCATACAACAACCAGGATGGTGTAGCGGTTGCAGCATCAGACTAGGGATTCGGGAGAGCCGGGTTCAAATCCTCCCTCCCTCACTGGGCGACTTTGCGTCCCTTCCCAACTCTCTCTTGGCCTAGCCTCCCTCACAGGGTGGTTGTGAGGAACAAATGGGGGAGGGGAGAAGAACCTTTGAGCTCTTTGAAAAGTGGGATATAAGTGCAATGAATAAATACAATTTCAATAACATGCACCATTGGTTTTGTTTTCAGAGTGAGAGAGGGATTTCAGATAATGAGCGGCGAGTGATTGTTTCTTGTACAACACCAGGCATAGGAAAGATAGAACAGCAAAGTTAAAACCAGAGAGCCAGTGTGGTGTAATAGTTAGCATGTCAGACTAGGACCTGGGAGACCAGGGTTCAAGTCCCCGCTTGGCTATGCAGCTCACTGGGTCACCCTTGGAGGCCAGTCACTCTCAGCCGAACCTACCTCGCAGGGTTGTTGTGGGGACCGAATGAGAAGCAGAAGAAGCACATACACCGCCTTGTGTGGATCTGGGTTGACCTGGGATTTGGGTGGATCAGACTGAGGCAGCCTTGGATACCCTTGGCTTGGATCAAGTCCACCTGAAGCAATCCAGGGCTGTCAAAATGCAAGGCAAGGAAAGCAGGGAGAAGGAGCCCTTTGTGACTCTGTAAGGTTCCTGAATTGGGTCAGGGGCTGGATCCAAGTTGGGTGCAAGACAGGACGGGAGACCCGCTCAGCCCTCACATGCACACATGAGGAAGATGTGCACAAGTCTTTTATAGTGGTGCATGGTTTGTTGGCAAGTTGTCATCCTTGTTGTTGTTGTTGTTTAGTCGTTTAGTAGTGTCCGACTCTTCGTGACCCCATGGACCAGAGCAGGCCAGGCACTCCTGTCTTCCACTGCCTCCTGCAGTTTGGTCCGACTCATGTTTGTAGCTTCGAGAACACTGTCCAACCATCTCGTCCTCTGTCGTCCCCTTCTTCTTGTGCCCTCCATCTTTCCCAACATCAGGGTCTTTTCCAGGGAGTCTTCTCTTCTCATGAGGTGGCCAAAGTATTGGAGCCTCAGCTTCAGATCTGTCCTTCCAGTGAGCACTCAGGGCTGATTTCCTTAAGAATGGATGCGTTTGATCTTCTTGCAGTCCATGGGACTCTCATCCTTACCCCCCTGGCAATTCTAAACTTTCTTCTCATCCCATTCACTATTCTTTCCATTCCAGTGCCTTAGGTGTGAATTTCAGAGCAGAGGGTGGTGAACTCCCTTGCCCTGTGTTCTGGCAGATTCTAGGCTATATGGAAGTGAGATCCAGGAAGCAAAGATGGTTTAGGAGCTCTAGCCTGGAAAAGGGTGTGAGATCGGCTCATCGGTCCCCTCCACCCACCCTGCAATAAAAAAAATACCACAAGCTCTGGGGTCCTGGTAGGATGCAGTTTGTGACCAAATCTATAGGTTTATTACAGCAAACTTAAAGCAGAACTTTTAAATTCTTGAAGCATAATATTTCCAGCAGCTGATAAAAATGACCATTAGTTGCTCTGATGAAAAGGATGATTTTGAAACTTCTGTTTTGTCCGTCATTATAATATCTCTCTTTCTCTCTAGTAGGTGAAGATCTGTGGCCCATTTTGGCCCATTTTGCAGTTCTGCCTGTCTCAGGGGTAGAGAGTACACCTTCTGCATGCTAACTGCTGTCTCCTTCCCGACATTGGGGTAGGGTTGGGGTCAGGGGTACGGCATCCGCCTTGCATTCAGAAGGACCCAGATTCAATCCCCAGCATCTCAAGGTAGGGCCAGGAAAGACCCCTGTCTGAAAGCCTGGGAGAGATGCTGCCAGCCAGTGTAGACAATACTAAGCTAGATGGACCAATGGTCTGACTCAGTTTATGGCCGCTTCCTATGTTCCTAGCTGCCAACCCAGAAGCCCAAGAGGAGTGTGAAGGCAGAGGTTCCTGTGGCCAAAGGACCATTCAACAGCCCAACTTAGCCCTGACTGTCTTTTACCAGTTTGAAAGATTTTGACCCCTGCTCTTCAGCTGAGGGTGGGAGGAAGCTTCCCAGAGTGGCTTACAGCTACCAATAATAAGACTTGGCTTATAAGCTAAAAGATACAATGCAAAAGGAAAAAGGAGGAGGAGGGAGGAGGAAGAAGCAAATTCAGGTGCTAGGTCTTCGCTCTGGAGTTCAGCTGTAATAGGTCAAGGAGATGAGGTGCCAAAAAAAGTCCCGTGTGTGCATGTGTGTACATGTGTGTGTGCGGGCGCATGCAGGCACATAGAGGATTCGGGATTCGGGAGATCAAAAACACTTCCAGTTGCAACTCTTTTTTCAATAAGAGCAACATTGGGCTGTGCATATGAGACCCTTCTGCAACAAATGTACACTATATTGTTCTCCCCGTATTGATTGCTAGAGGCTGCGCCCCTGCTCACTCAGTTCACAAACCTCCCACCGTTTCTCCGCCCCCCCAGAGCTTCCCCTTCCCACCTCAAGTGACTGCTAAGCTCCCTATTGTTCCCCATTTTTCTCTTCTATTCTGCAGTCCCACTCTGCACCCCCATTTTCACAGGCATGCCCATGACTATGCCCCCCCCAAGTTCCTTCAGTTCCCTCCATCCCTACTTCACATAAACCTCTGCTCTTGTTTTCAACCACAACATTTCACCTGTCAATGCCCCTCCCTCCTCGCTCCCATGACATGGCCACTGGTGTTGTGCAGCTTGTCTCCTCACCCCACCCTAACCTCCTGCAAATCTGGGATTTTGATGCGAGACCCAAAATCCTCCCAATGGGGGGGGGCCCTACGTGACGACAACCTTACATTTTTATGCATATAGGAAGATAAGTGTAGAAGTGTGGGTGGATACGTGCACAACACGGACCATCCATTCCGAGAGAGTCCATTTAGCCAACCTAATGGGTTGCGGTCCATTACTTGCGCGAAGGGAGAAATGGCTGGCCGTTTCAGAGCCCTGAGAGATTAGGAGAGGCTAAGGGTGTGTGCTTGTGTGTGCCAAAGAACCTCGAAGCACGTTCTGTCTGCAGTTGGCAGGACGGTGGACTGGAGACAGAAGGTATTTCGCTAAGAGAGATGGCTTCTCCCCCATCTCTCTGGGGACCATAAAGCTTTCAAGCAGCAAGGGTTATTTGAGAGCTCAAAAGAGATGCCTCGAATCACTATATAGATATCTCACCCTGCTGATCTGCTCTTTAAATAATGGGTACCATTTTCTCGCCATCAGAGTTAATGGCTCAACAAAAAAACAAGTACGAATGGCACCAGCCCAGTACAGCAATATCCAACTGCCTTGTCCACACTCGTTCCTCTGCATCAAAGGTAGGGAACCTCTTTCAGCCTGAGGGCCGCATTTCCTTCTGGGCAATCTTCCAGGGGCCACATGCCAGTGGTGGGTGGAGCCAGAAGGAAAACTGGGAGGAGCAACAGATGCAAATTGGACCTCTGTACAATAGGCTAGTTTCTACACACACACACACTCATATTCCAGGCAAGCAAGAGGCACGATCACAGTTCAAGGACACATTCCAACCAGGCAAAACACTCAAGGAGGGTGCAAAGCAGGGCTGGTAAGGGCTGTGGCCTGGGGAGGAGAGATGCGGCTGGAGAGGAGTGTGTGATATGGGCATAGGTGTAGCCAGGATTTATGGTGGGGGTGGCAGGGCACCCCACCTGGCATCATCGTCGGTCTGGCTCTGATACCTAGCACATTTGGAATGAAGGGTCTCAGCTGTTTTTAAGTGACTTTCTTTTGACCCCAAGTGCTCAGGAAAATCTGTCCAATTCTTTCTCCAATTTCTATTTTTAGTTAAGTATTTTTATTTATTTATTTGATGGGCATGGGGAGAGTCTCAGGGGCCATGTGGAGGGTTGAATTTGGCCCCCAGGCCCAAGGTTCAATAGAAGCTTATAAAATTATACAGTGGTACCTCAGGTTACATACACTTCAGGTTACAGACTCCGCTAACCGAGAAATATTACCTCGGGTTAAGAACTTTGCTTCAGGATGAGAACAGAAATCGTGCAGTGACGGCACGGCAGCAGCAGGAGGCCCCATTAGCTAAAGTGGTGCTTCAGGTTAAGAACAGTTTCAGGTTAAGAACGGACCTCCAGAACAAATTAAGTATCGTATTTTTCGCTCTATAAGACACACAAGACCACAAGACGCACCTAGTTTTTGGAGGAGGAAAACAAGAAAAAAAATATTCTGAATCCCAGAAGCCAGAACAGCAAGAGGGATCGCTGTGCAGTGAAAGCAGCAATCCCTCTTGCTGTTCTGGCTTCTGGGATAGCTGCGCAGCCTGCATTCGCTCCATAAGACACACACACATTTCCCCTTACTTTTTAGGAGGGAAAAAGTGAGTCTTATAGAGCAAAAAATACGGTACTTAACCCGAGGTACCACTGGACACAGCTGGGAGAAAGTGGTGCAGAGCGGTATGAAAGCACCTTAATAAATAAAACGAAACAAACGTCTTTAACCGAAGCATATTTAGCTTTCTCTCCAGCTGAAAAAGCCTCCCACAGTGGTTGACAAAGATCAATAACAAGGCAACCCTGACTTTTTAGAGTTGCGGCCTAAAAGGCACGTCACAAAAGGAAAAATGAATGTGGAGGGAGAAGGGGGGAAGCCTTTGGGCTTACCATAGAAAATACATGAAACAGAAGGGGGCAGGGGAGAAATGAAGCCATTTCATTTAGGAGAAAACAAACCACAATCCTTGAATCTGATGTAACGCAAAGCCAAGGCTTCTTGGTTTGTTTGTCTATTCTGCTTCTACCAGCGGATGATAGAAGAGGAGGCAATTGGGCAGTATATACCCGCCTGCTGTTCTTTCACAATAAACCACAATAAGTCATAACATCTGGTTTATCATTACGTGCAAACATGGCCATCAACTCATACAAGTCTGGGTAGGGGAACTTCAGGCCCAGGGGCCACAACTGGCCCTCCAGCCATCCCTGCCTGACCCCTGGCACTCTCCACAGGCCACACCCTCCTAGAGGTCAAATTTAAATACGTTGCTCCACCCAGTTGTGCTTCTGGCTCCACCCATTTGGCCCCCAGAAGGTTCCCCAGGAAGGCAGGAGGCCCTCACTCCCATAGAAGCTGCAATGTATTCGTTTTGTATTGTCTTATGGATAAGCTCTTGCAAGGCTCCCACAAAACCCAAGCGTAATGAGAAGCAGAGGAATGCCCACATGATATATTTGCTGCATTGCTTCTGAAAAAGGGCCAGAGGAGACACTTGATCCACTAGCAATTTCCCTCCGGGCCTGCAATTCAGCTTATGCAGCATGCTGTCATTGCATGTGCAGCTGAGTAGACCTCTGCCTAGTTGCGTAGCCGATAGGATTTATTCTGTCTGCTGAATGTCTTCTTGATGCCCTGGCATTCTGAAAAGCTTGCATCCGTCGTGAATCGCCTGTGCTCCCAACCTGCCACAATTTATAACAATTCCTCTGAGGGGAGGAGAAATAGGATGCCTTATACTAAGTCAGATTGCTGATTCCAGCTAGCTCAGAATTGTCCGCAATGGCGGAGGAACCTGGGGCGGGGCAAACCGCCCAGCGGCACACGCGCAACATCCCACACGGTCACTGTGTGAGCGGCAGCCCGTGCGAATGCCACGCAAGCAGTGCCCATACTAACTGCACATGCGCCCTCGGCTGCTCTACAGCTGGGGGGGCAGCGAGCCATCTTGTCACCCCCCGAGTGGTGCCCGGGGCGGCCTGTCCCCTCCACTCCCCTTCGTACTCTCCTGATTGTCCGTCTTGGGAGTCATTCTGCAAAGAAACAGTAAAGATGTTTGTACCTTTAAGAACTGTTTCTGTAAGCTCTGGGCAGATTGGGTACAGCTGGTCATGACTACAAAAGGAGGAAAAGTTGCAGTTTGAATCTGCCTGCAAGGACTAACACCCACAAGCTTTGTTGTTTGTTGTTTTGTAATGAAACCTTTATTGAATTTGGTTTTACACCGGTCTTATGGTGTCGTAGTTTCTGTCACCTGCCACCAGAGGAAAAAAACCCTCTAACAGTCCGCACTGATGGAAGTCTCTCCTAGCCCTATCTCAGGAGTCTGCAACCTTTAAGACAAAAAGAGCCACTTGGACCCATTTCCGAAGGAAAAAAAACTGGGAGCCGCAAAACTCGTCATTATAAAAATAACTTTTTTGTCACTTTTTTAATTATTTCTTTGTTTGACCCCTCAGAATTACTCCTCCTCATAGAAATAAACGTTAAATTAACAAGTTACCTTTTTGTGTGTGTGTGTGTGTTCTTCACTCCCCTTCAACAGTGACCAGCGTACATGCCCCCTTTCAATGCAGTGACCAGCGTACATGCCCCTTACAATGTAGCGGGCGGGTGGGCGGGAAGGTGACGTCGGGACGGTGCGTGACTAACGCACGCCCCGCCCCCATGCGACGTCACAGCCAGTACAGCGCCCGCCACAGTGGGGAGTGTCGGGGCACACAATGCGCCTCCTCCCCTCGCTAGTATCCGCCCCGGAGCCGCGGCAAAGGTGTAAAAGAGCCACATGCGGCTCTGGAGCCGCGGGTTGCAGACCCCTGCCCTATCTGGAGATGCCAAGAATTCAACCTGGGGCTTTCTGCTTTCAAGGCAGATGCTTATTCATCATGGGCTGGCCAAGTCGGGAAAATGCAGAGGGAGGATATGGGGGAGGCCTTCAGTGGGATGTGGGGCATCTGCTGGGAGTGGGGAAATTTGCTGGCAAGGATTGGAGGGTGGGGCGCTTCCTTAGCCTGCTCTCTCCCCTCCTCCCTTTCCAAGTTTGGTGGAGAACCTCTGTCAGACACAGCTGTCTGATACTGGGGATAGCTCTGCCTTCCCAGGAGAGAATAGTTCACCAGTCCCAGCCACCTCTCAGGTGGTAGCGACTTGTTCCCTGCCACCCAAGTCCAGGACGAGCCCAAAGAGAAGGAAACACAGGGCTCTGCCTGCTGAGCATTGCAAGAGATTGCAGAAACTCTTTCAGCCTTAAGATGAGCGCACCCTGTTCCTATATGCAGGATAGTCATCGGATCAACTTTCAAAGCTTTGCCAGCTGGAGTTCCTGCCTTTGTTGTAGCTGTTATTGAGGATTAGCAAAGAGTATTGCCTAAAGTGCCTTAAACCAACAATCTGCCTATATACCACAATAATCTAAGCATACAGGAAAATAGGTTTCCAGAAGGAGAGGTCAAAATTAGAAACAGAACTGTTAGAACCCAATACTAAGAATCTGTCGAGAATGTATAATCTGCTGTTGAAATGGAACACACAGGATGAAACGGTGAAATCAGCTATGATAAAATGGGCACAAGATATTGGTCATAACATTATGTTTGCTGACTGGGAACAGCTGTGGACCACCGGTACTAAATTTACGGCATGTAATGCCTTAAGAGAAAACATTATGAAAATGATGTATAGGTGGTACATGACCCCAGTCAAGCTTGCAAAAATTTATCATCTGCCCAATAATAAATGCTGGAAATGTAATGAGACTGAAGGTACTTTTTACCACCTTTGGTGGACCTGCCCGAGGATAAAAGCTTTTTGGGAAATGATCTATAATGAAATTAAGAAGGTTCTTAAATGGACCTTTCCTAAAAAACCTGAGGCTTTTCTCCTGGGCATAGTCGGCCAATTGGTGAGAAGGAAGGACAGGACGTTTTTTATGTATGCGACTACAGCAGCAAGGATTCTTCTAGCAAAGTATTGGAAGACACAACAACTACCCACACTGGAAGAATGGCAGACGAAGGTGATCGACTACATGGGACTGGCGGAGTTGACTGGCAGAATCCGTGACCAGGGGAAAGAGACAGTGGAAGAAGATTGGAAGAAATTTAAAGTTTATCTTAGAACTTGTTGTAAAATTTAGGAATGTTAAAATGTCAAGGGGTTGTGAAACAGAGAATTGCAGCTGTAATTAACAATATTAGAAGAACTTAAAAGAAATTGAACTGAAAAATTAGTCGACTGAGGAGTTGCTGAAGAAATATAAAACAAGGATGCAGAAAAGGGGAGGTATGGGGAAGTCCGGAAAGTAAGGTTTATGAAAAAATGGTTATGAAATTGTACATGTTTATATGTTTGTATGTTGGTGTACTGTGTATTGTTTGTTTTCTCTTTGTTTTTTTATTCTGTGTTTGGAAAATTAATAAAAACTTATATTAAAAAAAAAAACAATAATCTAAGCATAAAAGCCTTTGGAAAGAGTGTATCAATTTTCTTCAGCAACTGGGAGCCAGGACAATTCTCTGCTACTGAACTATGGCCATTCTCAAGGTTTCATCCTGCTCTGATCTGAGGGATGGGTGGGGAGGGGAAGGTTCCAGCACCATGGAGAGCTCCGAGCAAACCACTTGTTCCATCAAAGGTAGAGGTGGACCGAGGTCCTCGTGTATATTCATGAAAACAATATACAAACGTGAATTAAATTAGGGTAAATGTCTTGCAAAAAGAGATGTGTATATTTGCCCAACAGGCATGCAAAAATCTGTCTATATACCTTAAGAAATGTCCAGATTGGTACATTTTTAAAATGTTGAGTCTGCCACATTGATTCACAATGGTGGCCAATATCAAAACATAGTTGAAAAACTGCTCCGTGATCTCAGGAGCCATTGTGCCAAATTGCTTGTGTCACCTTAATCATAAATAAATAGAGGATTTAGCTTTTTGCCCTCAGCTTTCACCTGACCTTTTCGTAGTTTATATGCCAGGAAAAAACCTAGAACTTCTACATGTTGCTGACCATCACTGGCTCTTGTGGGAGTGAGTTCCGTAGTTTAACTATGTCCTGTGTGAAAGAGTCCTTTTATCTGTCCCAAATCATTCAGTTTTATTTTATGTCCCTGAGTTATAGCATTAGGAGAGAGGGAGAAAAGCTGTTCTCCATCCATTTTCTGTGTGCGATGCATCATTTTACAGTGGTACCTCAGGTTAAGTGATACCTCGTGGTATTTTACAGTGGTACCTCGTTCCGGAGGTCCGTACTTAACCTGAAACTGTTCTTAACCTGAAGCACCATTTTAGTTAATGGGGCCTCCTGCTGCCGCCGCGCTGCTGGAACACGATTTCTGTTCTCATCCTGAAGCAAAGTTCTTAACCTGAAGCACTATTTCTGGGTTAGTGGAGTCTGTAACCTGAAGCGTATGTAACCTGAAGCGTATGTAACCTGAGGTACCACTGTATAAGGTTCTATCATGGCACCTCTTTCTCGCCTTTTCTCTAAACTAAAAAATCCCAAATGCTGCAAATTTTCCTCATGGGAGAGTCATTTAAACCAAAGTCAGCTACAATTTAGGAGCAAATAAATGTCAGTAAAACCACACCTAAAAATAGTTTGCCCTCTTACTCAAATGCCTGGCCAGTATCTATGGCCTCCAGGTAAAACCAGAATCCCTTTCCTCCTCCCCTCCACCTCGCGCTGCTCAGATGCATATTCTCTCAAGTGGACAGCTGAGCCTTCGAAGGGCAGCACTTAGTTAAATTGCTGTGGGATTTATTGATCAGCTATGGTGGAGCAATGAACTGTACAACAAATGCAGCAGTAATAAACAGCTCCTGGATAAATGGCCGCTTCGTCCCTGGCGTTGATTGGGAATAGCCAGTGTGGTGTAGTGGTTAGAGTGTCAGGCTCTAGCACCCGGGAGGTAAAGGGACCCCTGACCATTAGGTCCAGTCGCGAACGATTCTGGGGTTGTGGCTCTCATCTCGCTTTACTGGCCGAGGGAGCCGGCGTACAGCTTCTGGGTCATGTGGCCAGCATGACTAAGCCGCTTCTGGCGAACCAGAGCAGCGCACAGAAACGCCGTTTACCTTCCCGCCAGAGCGGTACCTATTTATCTACTTGCACTTTGACGTGCTCAGGGTTCAAATTCCCCACTCAGCCATGGAGTGCATTGGGTGACCTCAGGCCAGTCATTAACCTACCGTATTTTTCGCCCCATAGGGCGCACCTAGTTTTTTTGGGGGGGAAATAAAGGGGAAAAATTATTTCCCCCCCAGGCGCGGGGCTGGGGCGGGGGAAGCCCGAGCTTCCCCCGACCCCAGCCCCCAGAACAGGCTGCTATCCGCAAGCCTAGGGAGCCTTCTTGATTCAAAATGGTTTCCAAACATATCCAAGCACAGACCAAAACCTATGATCTTGATCACAGGAACCATTGTGTAAGAATTGGTCACAATATCTTTTAAGAGATGTATGACAGCTTTCCAAAAGATATAGTAGATTTGGGTGGTGAGGAGAGAGGACAGGAGAATGAAAAAACTGTGAGCTGGTTGTTAAAGTATTATGCTGATGATTTATTCATTACTGAATTGATACACAGCCCTTCCTCCCCAAGGATCCCAGGCAGGCAAACAGATACAAAACTGTAAAAAGAAAAACAAAAACATTATAAAACAGATTAAAATGTCCTAAAATCAATTGCAATCAAAAACATACTTCCAGCCTATGCTCTGGAGGTGGCCAGGCGCAGTATTCTTCAGCCACCAAATGCTTGGGTGAACAGGGACATTTTCTCCTAGGGAGTTAATAATGATAGAGACAGGCACACCTGGCTAGAGAGGGCATTCCTCAACTGGGGGGCCACCACCAAAGAGGCCCCTTCACAGAACACTGCCAACCACGCAGCCTTCGGTGGCAGTGCCTCCAGCAGCAAGGCCTCACCCGCCAATGGTGACAAAAGGAGTGAGAATGGAGGCACAGGTTGGTTGGTTGGTTTTTTAATGAAAATTGCATTTCTCCTCTGCAGGCATTAAACAGTTACACACAGGGAGATATAGAGGGGTCAAAAAGACTGGGCCACACCGCACTCCTGGTTGCTATCGCAGCGATCCTCATTGGCCTCGTGTTGATCGGTATCCTTTGTGCGGTTCATTTCACTACGGTAAGTCAGATTTTGCCATTCTCCAGCCAACACGCTAGAACTTGATGCCATCTTGAACAATGCTGTTAATTTGCGGAGAGGGGAGAGGTGAGAGGGAGGACAGTTATTTCTAGTACTGTAGTGGATACTCGCAGCTATGACAGCTTCTAAGATTATGCTCTCTTCTTTAATCTGTGTTTCTTGTGCTCTTGCATGCTTAGAGGGCCAGGACCAGCACTCAGCAGTTGGCTTCGCTGGGTATCTACCAGTGCCCACATCCCAGTGTGGGGACCACTGCCAACTCCTGGAGCTCCAGGAAGCATGGATAGGAGATGAGAGAAGAGGAGATGTCCTCTGCCCACCTTGCCCCCTTCTCTTTGGGCAGAGTGGGCCTAGAGGAAGAGGGTCAATCAATGGGGAGCGGTGATTTGTAGCGTAGCGGCAGGCTCAAAGCCACCAGCCCCTTCTGAAAACAGTCTTATTAATTTTCAGTAATTAGGGGTGCATTGCAACGATCAATGCAGATCTTCATGGGTTGCCTTCCAGCTAGTTCTACAGTGTTCCATGCATGTACATGGGCAAATGATTTGGATATCTTCTTTTGGAGCAAGTTACATTGTGTTTTCTGTGAAGGTCCATTGGATGAAACAGAACATCTGGTGTTTTCAGTCTTCCCAAATGTTTGGGCTTTGGAGCAGCTCTGGATTTTATTTTATTTTTAATAATTTTTATTAATTTGGCGTAATATTCACCGGAGTCAACATTTTCCCCATAATGCTTCCTCGGACTAGCGGGCATGCCTCAGCGATACTCCAATTACCCAGATTCATAAAAACAAAAACAAATAAACACACATCGATAAAGTAACACTATATGTGGAGATTCTTCGAATCTCGCAACTTCCCCCCATCCCGTCTATGGAGTCTTGTTTTAAAACATCTCCAACTGCATATTAGTTTCTACTCCAGTTATTATATCAAACCATATTATCCATAATATTTTTTTACACTACCAGTACAGTATGTCAAAATCTCTTGTTTCCATCTGCTTACAGTGGTCTCCTAAATAACTTGTAAATTTTCCCCATTCATTTATAAAGTTAGTTTTTTTTAAATAATATTTATTAAAGTTTCAGAGGATACAAAAATTACACAAGAACAAAAACAAAAAGTAAAAATACAAAAAATAAAAATACAAAATACAGGAAAATAAAAATACAGAAAAAAAGACATAAAGAAAAAAAACAGTTAAACACAATATCATTATTTTCAGACTCCATTAACTGTCAATTTCCTTATTTTCTTAGACCTCCTCCTACCTCCCTTCCTTTGTATTCTAGTTCAAATTGATTATCCAGCAAATCCTTTCCTTTCCATATTAAAAAAAATTCTATCATTACATTACCCTCGACTAATTTAATCCTCTTTCTATAATAAACTAAACCTTAAAGTTTAAAACTTAAGTCTTAACCTTACCAGCTTCTTGTAATCATAATATTCTTTCATAATTCTTTATGCATCTTTACTAAAGCCAGGTAATTTCTTCCAACATTTTTCTATCATTCATCAGCTTTATAAAACATTCTGATAATAAAGAAAAATAGGGGGGGAAAAGATATAGACAAGTCCAATCTTTATCCAACGTCCCTTCCTCCTGGTTCCGGGATTTGTCAGTCCTTATTCCCATCAGCTTAACCCGGTAACCTTATGTCCGAGGCCCTCAGGTCACTTCCGCGGCTCTTCTTCATACTTATAGCTGTAATTTCCCTTATCTCCTCGTAATAACTCCAGCTTGACAATGTCTCTTGTTCGTGGTAACTCCAACATAGTAATGTTTTTAACCCTTCTCGTCAGATCAGACCCTTTTCCATATTCATCGCTGCATTCCATATAGTATTTAAAAACATGTTTTTATCCTCTTGGTTTCTGAGTTTTCCAGTCAGCTTTGCCATTTTGGCATCGTCCACCAGCTTGATTTGCCATTCTTCCCTGGTAGGGAGCAGCTCTGGATTTAGGGCAGTGTGGGCTGTCCCCCCCCCCAGCACACAGGATGCCCAGCCGAGGGGGTGCAAAACAACAACCACCACTTATATTTATAAGGGTACCTAGTGAGAAGATCCATAAAAATCAACTGTACCAAAAGGAATTACGGTATTGCGAAAATGAGAAATATTTCTGGGGGTGGGGGAAGCATCAAATTTTGTCCTTGCTCAAGGGTGTCATATTACCAAAGTCCACCCCTGTTTGGAGCATGCAGAACAACTCCTCTTCAGCCCATCCTCAATGGCTAACTCAGCTCCTTTCACTCCAGTTGCCTCCAAGAGCCAGTGTGGTGTAGTGGTTAAGAGTGGTAGACACGTAATCTGGTGAACTGGGTTCGCTTCCCCGCTCCTCCACATGCAGCTGCTGGTGACTTTGGGCTAGTCACACTTCTCTGAAGTCTCTCAGCCTCACTCACCTCACAGAGTGTTTGTTGTGGGGGAGGAAGGGAAAGGAGATTGTTAGCCGCTTTAAGACTCCTCAGGGTAGTGATAAAGCGGGATATCAAATCCAAACTCCTCCTCCTCCTCTTCTTCTTCTTCTTCCAATCAGCACATAGTGGGAAAAGGCTGCTTATCAGTAGCTAAAAAAGCTCCTCTTTCATGCTGATTGGGTGAATCCAGGAGTCTAGGGACAGGGACCCTGCTGCAGAAATATGAATGGGTCTTTGACCCCAACATGACCCCAGACCAAAACACCACTGGGCAACGCACAGGCTCTGGTTAAATTCCCAAGAAGCCAAAGCTTTCATTTTAAGAAATAAAGTCTCTAGACCTCATGAGCTGAAACTAGTGGAGCTGTTTTGTAAATACCAAAAAACAAAACAAAACAAAACACCCGCACAAAAACAGATCAAAGGAGCAGGCAAACAGCCCAAATACATTAAAACATTATTTTGTGATTTCAGGTTCTGAATGAATAATAATGAGACTAGTGGTAGCAATGACATCTGAGTGTGCAACCCTGTGCACACTCCCCTGTCTCCCCATAAATCTTAGTCCTTCCTCCGGATATCCCGAGGAGGAGGCCAAAGCTGCAACCCTATACCCACTTACCTGGGAGTAAGCCCCATTGTACCCAGTGGGACTTCCTTCTGAGTAGACACGGATTGGATTGCACTGTAAAGACCCCAGAACTTCAGGTCAGGCTGCATCGCCAGCTGGCAGCCTTACCTTGTCACGATGTAGGATCTGAAAGGGAAAGTTGCATAAGGGAAAGGTGGAAGGAAGTGGATAAATTTAGCCCAAAGAAGATTAAGGGGGGAATTCCGTCAAGTATCTAGAAGGAAGATGGGAAATGCTTGCGCTTTCAGCCTAAGCAGCGAGGAGCAGAGGCATCTTCCCAGAGGTATCTGGTTGGCAGCTGCAACGAAACGATGCTGGCTGAGGTGGACCTTTGGCCTGATCCAGAACCCAGGCCCTCCCTCCCCTGTCAGAGCCAGTATGCTTCTGAATTAACAGTTGACACGGGGAAAGAAGATAGAGGAAACTTTTCTTCCCTCTCTCCTAACTCTAGAACTGACCAACATCCAAGGAAGCGGAAGATATGGGATGGATTAAACCAGGGGTCAGCAACCTTTTACAGCCGTGGGTCAGTCCACCGTCCCTCAGAGCATGTGGTGGGCCAGACTATTTTTTGGGGGGGGGGAATGAACGAATTCCTATGCCCCACAAATGACCCAGAAATGCATTCTTAATAAAAGGACACATCCCACTCATGTAAAAGTACGCCGATTCCCGGACCGTCCATGGGCCGGATTGCGAAGGTGATTGGGTCACATCCGGCTCCCGGGCCTTAGGTAATAATAATAATAATAATAATAATAATAATAATAATACAGTGGTGCCTCGCAAGACGAAATTAATTCGTTCCGCGAGTTTTTCCGTCTTGCGGTTTTTTTCGTCTTGCGAAGCACGGTGTTGGAAAAGTTTTGGAAAAGCTTCAAAAATCACCAAAGTCTTCAAAAACCTCAAAAAAGGCTACCACACCGCGTGCTATGAGTTGCTCCTGGAAGTCAAGTCGCAACTGTATTAACGGTTTTAAGAAAAAGGAAACAAACTTGCAAGACGTTTCCGTCTTGCGAAGCAAGCCCATAGGGAAAATCGTCTTGCAAAGCAACTCAAAAAACAAAAAACCCTTTCGTTTTGCGAGTTTTCCATCTTGCGAGGCATTCGTCTTGCGAGGTACCACTGTATACAGTGGTACCTCGGGTTACATACGCTTCAGGTTACTGACTCTGCTAACCTAGAAATAGTGCTTCAGGTTAAGAACTTTGCTTCAGGATGAGAACAGAAATCATGCTCCGGCGGCCCGGCGGCAGCAGGAGGTCCCATGAGCTAAAGTGCTGCTTCAGGTTAAGAACAGTTTCAGGTTAAGTACGGACCTCCGGAACGAATTAAGTACTTAACCCAAGGTACCACTGTATTTATTTATACCCCATCCATCTGGCTGGGCTTCCCCAGCCACTCTGGGCGGCCTCCAACAAAATATTAAAATACAGTAATGCATCACACATTAAAAGCTTCCCTAAAAAGGGCTGCCTTCAGAGGTCTTCTAAAAGTCTGGTAGTTGTTGTTCTCTTTGACATCTGGTGGGAGGGCGTTCCACAGGGCGGGGGCCAGTACTGAGAAGGCCCTCTGCCTGGTTCCCTGTAACTTGGCTTCTCGCAGTGAGGGAACCACCAGAAGGCCCTCAGAGCTGGACCTCAGTGTCCGGGTAGAAAGATGGGGGTGGAGACACTCCTTCAGATATACTGGACCAAGGTTGTCTACCCCTGGATTAAAAAAAAAAAGGACTTCTTCATGCAGCACATCGTTAACCTGTGGTACCCGCTCCTGCAGGAGGCAGTGATAGCCACCAACTTGGATGGCTTTAAAAGAGGATTAGACAAATTCATGGAGGAGAAAGCTCTCAGTGGCTACTAGCCAATATGGCGAAGCTTTGCCTCCACGGTTGGAAGCAGTAAGTGCTTCCCAATAGCAGTTGCTGGAGACCACAGGAGGGGAGAGGGCTCTTTTGCTCACGTCCTGCTTGTGAGTTTCCCAGAAAAGGCATCTAGTTGGCCACTGTGAGAAAAGGATGCAGGGGGCTGGATGGGCCTCCTTTGGCCTAGATCCAGCTATAGGGCTCCCCTGGCGTTCTTATGAGCATGAAACAATAAGGCTGATGGCCTGAACCGTAAGAATGGAGCAGGGAATGAAGGGAAGGCTGGTTTCACACATGCAGGTTCATGGCAGTATCATCAGGTGGGCGGAAGCAGCCATGGTGGCCCAACAGCCATAGGCAAAGGTGTTCCATCACTTCATTTTCCCACGGAGGTGGCTCACCCACTCAGCTGAAAGGCTGGGGAGGGATGTACCGTATTTTTCGCTCTATAAGACACACCAGACCATAAGACGCACCTAGTTTTTGGAGGAGGAAAACAAGAAAAAAAATATTCTGAATCTCAGAAGCCAGAACAGCAAGAGGGATCGCTGCGCAGTGAAAGCAGCAATCCCTGTTGCTGTTCTGGCTTCTGTGATAGCTGCGCAGCCTGCATTCGCTCCATAAGACGCACACACATTTCCCCTTACTTTTTAGGAGGGAAAAAGTGAGTCTTATAGAGCAAAAAATACGGTAGCTCAGTAGTAGGGCATCTGCCTTGCATGCGCATGGTCACAGGTTCAATCCCTGACATTGCCAGGTAGGGTTGGGAATTTCCCCAGTCTGGAACCCTGGAGAGCTGCTGCCAGTCAGTGCGGACAATACTGAGCTAGATGGACCAAATAATCCGATTCAGTATAAGGTAGATTCCTGCAGCTGAATAATCCTATGCCTGAAACATCATGTACAGCAGGTATCATCAATCTTTTCAGGCCCATGGCTCACTTTTAATCCAAACAGGCTTTGGAGGCCTCATTTCTTAATCGTTCGCCATCTATCTGCATGGCTGTGATGTTTCTGTTGTGACGCACTAGTGGGTCTCAGCTGACCAGCTGAAGACCAGTGATGCACAGGCATGTGCGAATCTACTTATGGGTGCTGCTTGTGCAAGTTGAGTGCAGAATTCGGTATGGGGTGGGGACCTCGATTTTCATTAAAGAGGGGATTTAAGTTCCTAGTCCCTAAGACTATGAAGAACATGTTGAAAGTGTAAAACAGGCATAGGCAAACTCGGCCCTCCAGATGTTTTGGGACCACAACTCCCATCATCCCTAGCTAACAGGACCAGTGGTCAGGGATGATGGGAATTGTAGTCTCAAAACATCTGGGGGGCTGAGTTTGCCTATGCCTGGTGTAAAATCTCACGTGGACAGAACCTGGGTGAAAGGAAAACCCAGAAGTCAGGAGGTTGCGCTTGGGTGCCTGCAGAGCTCCTTACCTATTGCTGTGACTAGTCAAATAAGGTATGCAAGTGAGAAGATCAAATTATCTAAAGTAATACAGTATTTTGAAATGCAGTAAGCCCTTTCTCCTCCTGTGAAGAGGCTGCATCCTAATGTTTTAATGTTGTATTTTAAACTTGTTTTTTAAATTGTATTTTAATCAACTTGTTTTCATTATTGGTTGTTAGCTGCCCTGAGCCCGGTCTTGGCTGGGGAGGGCGGGGTATAAATAATAATAATAATAATTACTACTACTACTACTACTACTACTACTACTTGTGTACAATCAGCTTTATGCAAAATAAAATAGAAAGGGGGCGGGCATCCAGGAAAAAAGACTTTAGCAATCCCACTTGCCATTGGACTTACAGTGTTTTTAACTAGATGCAATGTTGGCTTTAGGGGTGATACCTGGAATGTTCCCCCTGTGTAAACTGGGCTTACTGTATGCATCCCTTTTGGTAGGTAGGGAATTGGGGGGAGTGGATGCAAAAGGGGACCGTGGCTCCTTCACCTTCAGGGGCAGGAGCCTGCCACCCTATCCAATTAAGGATTGCTCACATTGCTACTTATCTCCAGAATCTTCACAGCACTCCTGTAAGGTAGGCCAAAGACTATAGCCAGAGGTCCTGCACCTTTAAGAGCTGAACAGAAGAGGGGATTTCAATACTATTAAAGGTGCAGGAGCATTTTGCCTCTGTTGCATTTGGCTACCTTATTAGAACCAGGATTGTGAAACCTGCGGCCCTCCAGATCGCATCATCTCCAACTCTTGGCCACCTGGAAACTGCAACGTAAAAGACAGCTTTCCTTGACACAGCCTTTTGGTTATTTCTCTCCCCCGTATAAAAATCTCTGTTTCTATGACCTATGCACGTCCCTAGATGCTGTTGGACTCCAACTCCCATCATCCCTGACCATTGACTAAGTTTGCCAGGGATGATGGGAGTTGGAGTCCAACATGTGGAGCTCCAAGGTTGAAGAGTGCTATCCTGCGCTCTCATAGAGCAGCCTTTGCTAACCTGGTGCCCTCCAGATTCTTTGGAATACAACTTCTTCGAGAGCCAGTGTGGCATCGTGGTTGGAGTGTCGGCTCTGGACCTGGGAAACCAGGGTTTCAAATCCTCGCTCGGCCACGTGAAACTCACTGGGTAACCCTGTGCCAGTGGCTGCCTCTCGGCCTAATTTGCTTCACAGGTTTGCTGTGGGTATTAAATGGGGAGGGAGAGAACCACGTACAGTGGTACCTCAGGTTAAGAAGATAATTCGTTCTGGAGGTCCGTTCTTAACCTGAAACTGTTCTTAACCTGAGGTACCACTTTAGCTAATGGGGCCTCCCGCTGCCACCGTGCGATTTCTGTTCTCATCCTGAAGCAAAGTTTTTAACCTGAGGTACTATTTCTGGGTTAGTGGAGTCTGTAACCTGAAGTGTCTGTAACCCGAGGTACCACTGTTCGCCACTTTGAGCTCCTTGTAGAATAAATAATATAAATATAAATGCAAGAAAGAAATAACGCCAAAATATCTGTAGGGCACTCTGTTGTCTAAGAGAGATTGCAGGGAGATGCCACTCATGGATGGACACAGGAAGTTAGTTCCTCTGCTGTACTGCCACGTCGTGGGTGTCTGGCAACCTTCGCTGGCATATTTACATCGCTGGCTCTTCATCCTGGCAGATGGAATTACCAGCTGTCCCCAAAGACGCAGGAGCAGCAGAAGGGCTGTGGTGGGATGTTTCTGCAAGACACACAAGTTGAGATGGGCATGAACTTTTCACCTCTTTCTGCTGGACACCGTGCTTGAGGAGGATGGGTTGTGTGTGTTTCTCTCCCCCACAACCGAAACCAGAGCTCTCAAGAAACTTCCTAAATAATTAGGCCTGCATGCTTGAAACTGTTTATTACTTAGTCCTTTTTTAAAACATCTGCCCTGGATCTTCCAATAATCAGCTCCGTTGCATGTCCAAAAGTTCTTCTGTCATAAGAGAGGGAGAAAAACAACCTATCCATTTCTTCATGCCCTGCATAATTTTGTGAACCTATATCTAATCCTTGCTCACTTTTGCTCTAAACTGGAAAAAGTCCATAATACTTGCATTAGATGTGGTAGAAAATGTGGGAGGCACATACTTACACAATCCATTATGCACAGCAGTCCTTTGGGGTCTTTTCCCTGTGCTGCAACTGCTATGAGGGAGACTCCTGGTGGAAACCTCAGGGGTCAGGGGTCAGCAAACTTTTTCAGCAGGGGGCCGGTCCACCATCCCTCAGACCTTGTGGGGGGCTGGACTATATTTGGGGGGGGGGATGAACGAATTCCTATGCCCCACAAATAACCCAGAGATGCATTTTAAATAAAAGCACACATTCTACTCATTTTGGAACTACAATTCCCATCATCCCTAGCTAACAGGACCAGTGGTCAGGGACGATGGGAACTGTAGTCTCAAAACAGCTGGAGGGCCAGAGTTTGCCTATGCCTATAGAATCTACCACTGAGCTGTGACTCTTCTCTCTCCTTAACTATGACCTTCCTTTCCCCTTTAAGTCAGGTGTGGGGAAACTTTGGCCCCCCTGATGTTGCTGAACTGCACCACCCACCACCCCTGGCCATCGGCTCTGCTTGCTAGGGCTTCTGGGAGTTGTAGTCCAGCTGGGAGTTGTAGTCCCCCATTCCTGCCTCTGCGTTACAGCTGTGCTTTGCCGTTATGAGCACCAGCGGCTCTGGTAATTGCCCAGGGTGTGGCTGATTGCTTCTTCTATGTTAAAACAAGGAAGGCTTTATGAAAACACCAAAAAACAAAACAAAACAAAAGCCATTAGTGAATATCAAACCATTTCCTGACAGTCAGGAATCCATTGATTTTTCGAGATCGCCCTGATACATAATTCAGCACGAACTGGCAGCGAGATGACAGCTACCAGTGGAGACTTAATGCTTGTGATTCAAAAGAGTATTGAGCCACTAATGCAGTGAGTTGTTTGTTTAATGGGAACAAGGGCTATTAAATAATGTGTCCATTAGGCCTTGAGGATGAATAATTTAAATAAGGCAATCAAACTTTCTAACTTTCTCTTCTTCTTCTTCTCTCTCTCCCCTTCCCAAATTCTCCTCTTCTCTTTGTGGGAGGGAAAAACCGCCATTATTTTTAACACCAATGCAGCACGTCATCTGACATCCAAGACTTAGGATGGGAAGCATTGCCCGTCTTCAAACCTCTGGGAAAGGCACAGGGAATCTCTGGCAAAGGGAAGGAAAACAAGGATCCTTCAGTCCAGACGGTTTGATTCCAGTCGCTGGTGAACAGATTGCGTCCGCTATCGCTGTCCACAGTGCTGCGTAAACCGAGACGAGCATTAAAAAGTATTTCTTAAGGAATGCTGTTAATAGAGAAATGCTTCCAATTCGCTTTTCAAACCCCCAAACTCCAGGCCTCCGTTTTCATGTATGTTGGAGGTGGTACCTCTATTCCTGCAACACACACAAACTCCTCTCCCTCCATCCTACATCGTAGGCATTCGGGCTCACCCTTGTGTGCAACATCGCCCAGGTCAGAGGCGTTTGCTGGCTGAACTTTTTGGATCACTGATGGATGCAAGGACCGAGCTGGAGGAGCGGGCCGGACAAGGTGATTTTTGGGTTGACTTCTGCTTCAGGTCCATTGACCCCATTGGAGCCTCTCAGGACAAAAAATGAGAATGCTTTCCCAGCCCATCATACATCTTTGATCTACTGCGGCTCCACCCTCTCTACAGCTTCAGAGTTATCATCTGAGTTTCTCAGTCTAGCATGGATATTTAGAAAGCTGCCTCATTGGTCCATCTTGCTTAGTATTGTCTTATGCAGCCCTCCAGGGTGTCAGTTCTCTCCCAGCCCTACCTGGAGAAGCTTTGGACTTGAATCTGAGACTTTCTGCATGCAAAGTAGATGCTCCACCAATCCACTCTCTTTCTTCCTGAACTGCCTTCTCTCCAGTCCAGCTTTCTCCCTGCTCTTTCTGCAAAACAGGCTTCTTCTTTTTCAGGAATGTTTTGCTATCTCTTTTTACAGACTCCCATTTCTTTGATCAGGCCTCTGCTACGTGTTTGTGCTTGTCCGGCTGTGTATGATGTCATGTGCGACTCAAGAGGACAACTCGTCCTGAGAGTCGGTGAAGGATGGTGCTGGCGAAGGGAGATTAGCCTGTCCTGCTCACGTGCCTTTAAGAACAACTCGATCCGCAGAAATGAGCAGGCGGAGCTTTCCTCTGCATGGAAATTACATTTAAACCACCTAACTTCCCCCAAAGAATCCTGGGAACTGTAGTTCTGGGTATTGTAATCCTGGGCATTGCAGCTTGGGGGTAAACTACAGTTCCCAGGAATCTTTGGGGGAAAGCCATGTGCTTTGAATGTTAAACTTGTAGGCAGAGCACATGACTGAAAATCAAGCTTCAGTTAAAGGCACCAGCCAACTTTGGGGTGGCTGTAAATTGGCAAGCGAAATGTAATCAGGCTTGACTTGCATTTTGATACCCTGTAGGCTAGGCATCCCCAAACTTGGCCCTCCAGATGTTTTGGGACTACAACTCCCATCACCTCTGGCTAACAGGACCAGTGATCAGGGATGATGGGAATTGTAGTCCCAAAACATCTGGAGGGCTGAGTTTGGGGATGCCTACTGTAGGAAATACTTTTTTCCCATGCCAGATCCTGAATGGAATGGGTTATAGCCAATGGTCAACCTACTCAGAGTGGATCCATTTAAATTAATTGACATGTTTAACTGAATTCTATTAATTTCAATTGGCTAACTCCAACTTAGTTGGATACAACAGAATGGAAACTTTCTATGGGGTAAGGAGAATAATTTTTATTTTATTTATTATTTATTAAATTTGTATACCGCCCTATAGATCTCAGAGCGGTTGACAACATAAAATGCATCCTCCCACCTGTACAAGTAAGGAAATATAAAAGTTTTATCCCTTCCCTTCCATCACCATAATCTAACTTAAGGGATGTTCCAAGGAACTTTCCCCAAGGGATAAAGGGTAATTGTGATCACCCCGTGTCTGACTGTGGATTTTTTTTTTTAATTAACACTTAAATGTCATGTCTGAAAAAAAGGGGGGGGGATTCAATAAACTTGTATTGGTTTGTATAATTCTTTGTTCAAATAACTTTAATGCTTTCTTGAGGACTTCTGTAAAGGATCTGCTCCCCAGCGCATGGGACACAACAGAGCAAGAAAAGGGTCAGAAAAGGGTCACCGAAATGATTGTGGGAATGGCTGAAGCATTTTCCTTACAAGGAAAGGCAAAAATAAAATGAAAAGCACGTGGAAGAAAGACAACGAAGGATGATAGTGGTTTATAAATTTATATGTGGTGTAGAGAACGGAGGAAGAAAAGATGTATTTCCCCCCCTTAGGTGACTTTTATACGAAAAAACCCTGCTCCTTTCCCCTTATAGGGTACCCAAGAGCCCATATGGGGACGCAGGTGGCGCTGTGGGTTAAACTACAGAGCCTAGGGCTTGCCGATCAGAAGGTCGGTGGTTCGAATCCCTGTGACGGGGTGAGCTCCCGCTGCTTGGTCCCTGCTCCTGCCCACCTAGCAGTTCGAAAGCACGTCAAAGTGCAAGTAGATAAATAGGTACCGCTCCGGCGGGAAGGTAAGCGGCGTTTCCGTGCGCTGCTCTGGTTCGCCAGAAGCGGCTTAGTCATGCTGGCCACATGTACGCCGGCTCCCTCGGCCAATAAAGCGAGATGAGCGCCGCAACCCCAGAGTCGTCCATGACTGGACCTAATGGTCAGGGGTCCTTTTACCTTTAAGAGCCCGTATAGAGTCCTTATGTAGGTTCTCCATCGGTAGGAGAAAATAACAGAGGCCAGCCCAGAGAATATTGAGAAGCAAAGCAGCTAGTAAGCCTGATCTTTATTAAAGCTGTTGCAACAGGGTGCTCATGTCCCACCACACAGGAGGGAGGAGGAACCCAGAACAATGGTGTGCAAGCCCTTATGTAGACTTTTGAAATTGCCACCCTGTAGCTCAAGACCACCCCCCAATACATCATACACACATCACAGAACGGGGCGGCCTACAGCAGAATCCTGTCTGGCATGAAATCTAGTGATCAGTTTACCTGGACAGCCTAGCCATTCGTTTGTGATGATAAATACTTACCGTATTTTTCGCTCCATAAGACGCACCTTTTCCCTCCTAAAAAGTAAGGGGAAATGTGTGTGCGTCTTATGGAGCAAATGCAGGGGGGAGGCTCTGCTCAGCGCTCCCTTTAAAGAGCCGTGTGGAGTGTGTGTGCGGCTCTTGGGGGCTTTTCCCCGAGGAGGGAGAAGGGCAGCCCCGCCGTCTCTTCCCCCACCTCGCGGAAAAGCCCCCATGAGCTGCGCGGAGCGCGTGTGCGGCTCTTGGGGGCTTCTCCCTCCTCGGGGAAAAGCCTGCAAGCGCCGCACACACGCTCCACGCGGCTCGTGAAAGGGAGCGCTGAGCAGAGCCTGGGATGCATATAGGCTCTGCTCAGTGCTCCCTTTAAAGAATATTTTTTTTCTGGCATTCCCCCTCTAAAAACTAGGTGCATCTTATGGTCTGGTGCGTCTTATATAGAGTGAAAAATACGGTACTTAATTCCTGAGTCCAGGTCACAGGCTCACTCTGTTCATACCCAATGTGCCCTTAAGGCAGGATTTGTGAGCACAGAGACAATGGGGAGGCTTTTCCCAGTTCCATCCAAACTGCAGAGGAATATTTGAGGTCGCTGAAAGAGTCAAAATGGCTTTAGGACTGTTTTCCTGTACTGTTTCAGACATGTGGTTTATATATTTATGTATGTGTTCGCCTGGCACATTTATGAACATTTATTTTATATCTTAGACGTTATAATTCTCATAACAGTGACACAACCAGGGCTTTTGTTAAGGAGGAACTGACAGGAACTCAGTTCTGGCACCTCTCAGATGGGTGCCATTGCCATTCTAAGAGAATGAGGGAGGTTTTCATGGCGAGTTTGAGCATCTTTTTTTCTAGAAAAATAGCATTGGACACAACTATAGTACTTAAGTCTAAACATCTCTACACTTTACATTAGTTTTCCCAGTGTTACCTCATTATTGTTGACCATTAACTGGAGAATAAGGGACGCGGGTGGCAGTGTGGTCTAAACCACAGAGCCTAGGGCTTGCTGATCAGAAGGTCGGTGGTTCGAATCCCCGCGACGGGGTGAGCTCCCATTGCTCGGTCCCTGCTCCTGCCAACCTAGCAGTTTGAAAGCATGTCAAAGTGCAAGTAGATAAATAGGTACCACTCCAGCGGGAAGGTAAACGGCGTTTCCGTGCGCTGCTCTGGTTCGCCAGAAGCAGCTTAGTCATGCTGGCCACATGACCCGGAAGCTCCCTTGGCCAATAAAGAGATATGAGCGCCGCAACCCCAGAGTTGGTCACGACTGGACCTAATGGTCAGGGGTCCCTTTACCTTTACCTTTACCCCCCATTTGGGGGGGGGGGGGTTCAGGTCAAAGTTGTTGAGCTTTGTCTACCTTTACCTTAACTGGAGAATAAGTGTTGTAGCAGTAGTCTCTCTAAATATCATAGCCTAAGAATCTGATTATGACAATTCCAGCACATGTGTATGAAATTCCCTCCAGCAATTGTAATTTCTACTCTTCATTAAGCTAGCCAAAAAGGAATCAGATGTGATCCTGGGGTTTTTTTTGTACTATGGTGTTAAGGTTCCATAGCTCTGGCAGTATTCAGACAGGTGTTTTTTGCAGAATCATTACTGCTCAGGCAGGCAAGACCTATTATGCAAGATCCACAGGATGTCATTGGCATCAAAATGCCAGGCTGCTCCCCCCCCACCCTCATTTAATCAGGATTTACCCTTTCCGTGGGAAATCCAGTGAGTTAAAAAAAACGCCCATTGCAAGCAACTTGTTTGTGATATCTGAATTTGCAGTATTAAGCCCCCTGGGGGGGGAAATGTTTTTAGTGCCAAATAAAAGATGGATGGCAATGTTTGCTCGCTGCCTGGGGTGAGTAAAGGTGATCTCAGACCAAGCAGTCTGCATCAGGAAGGGCGGACTAAAGAGCCTTTGACGTATGTGTTGGCTTGGGAGAAACCAGCTGAGGTCAGAGTCATCAGGTCCACATTGGGTCTCATCCAGGTTAGCAGTACACAGG